AGTTTTGTTACTGTTTTGTCCGGAATGTTCCACAATAAAGCACTAAAATTACCCATCGGTCTCGACGGATACAAGCACCAGGCCGAGTTACAGGTCAGATCTGTGCAGACGTGAGCCCACTTGCGGTAAGAATTCAACGTTTTTTTTTTTTTTTTTCCAAGTGTAGCAATAAAAACACTTGTGATTTAACACGTGAAAGATGGACGAGGTTAAAGTCGTACGGTGAAACACTCTAGAAAAGCAGCGTCGCCGCGGAGACGAGCAGGTTTACGGTGTTAATATTCTGAATTCGCGTCATTTTAACGAAAGTAGATTTACCGTTTTTGTTTAGAGCGCGTGTGGACAGGCCAGCAGAGAAGAGCTCGAGCGGGTGTGCCTTCTGTCTCTGGAAACGCCATTGGCACCAGACACCGAAAAATGTTACGCAACTATCAACGTACACCGCAAAAAAACACATCTCACGTACGTTAAAAGTACTTCTTAATTCACTTGATGCGATAAATTGAGTTTTGACAAGTTTAGATGAACCAATGGACCTATTTTTCATTTAATTTCTTTAGTTTTTTCTCGAATTTTTGTCCAATCACGATGGGACCATCTTGCCAAAACTCAAGATAAAGTCGCACTGTGTAACTTTTCCGATGGAGGAGGGTCCGCGAACGCCTTCTCGTCTCCGTGGAAACATTATTGCTCTGCCTGGAACGTCCGACCGTATGGCATTTAACTTAAGCGGGCGTTGTCAACAGGCCAAGTTACAGGTCAGATCTGTAGCGAGGCGACGCCGCTCATAATAAAAATAATAATAATTCATGATTTTCTGAGGAATTTTGAGTACGGTGACCAGATTTTCCAAAGTTGGGATGGTAGGTATAAATAAAATTGTGAAAAAAGTGTGTAGCATTGTCCATTTTCGACTCACGTGTGGGTCAGTGTTTAATCTGAGACAAAATACGATGATTTAGAACTGATATACCGTATTTTTCGGACTATAAGGCACACTTAAAATCCTTTCGTTTTCTCACTGCGCATTATGTATTAATTCTGGTTGCGCTTACTGACCTCAAACTGATTTTATGTGGTACACGGCGCTAAAAAATCTGTCAAAATATTTTAGTACGACTACGAAGTCGCTCCGCTTGATGGATTGTCGGAGCGTTTTAAGTTTCGCTTTTGTAAAACGTAAACAAATGTGCGCAAAGCCGAATTAAACACATTATTACTCAGTGCATATTTGAGTCGTCCTTGTAGGAAATAAAAAACAAACTTAAATAAATTATCCACCCACATTCAAATTCATAATCCACATTCACCAAGACAGGGAGGCAACGCCGGGCGAATTATGCCACGATCTGCCGATGGATCGTGGACGCCTGGACTAAGGATCAGTCTCGAGTGTCGTCCGTTTGTTTCACTTAATGCGCCTTATGTATGAAAATAGACGAGAGAATTCAACATTATTGATATTATGCCTTATAATCCAGTGCTCCTTATAGTCTGAAATATGTGGTAGTCCTAGTTTAGTCCTTATTTAGTCCTTGTTTAGATCTGAAAGGCCTGATATAGCCCTAATTCAGATCAAATTGGTCAAAAATAGAGACACCTGGGGCATTTCTTGTATAAAACTGGGACAAATCTGTGGTTTTGGATAAATCTGCTGGTACAGGGGACACAGGGCTCAAAACTGGGACTATCCGGGGTAAATAGGAACATCTGGTCACCCTGATTTTGAGCAATAAAAACACCAGTAATCTAATACATGGATTCGGTGACCAGATGTCCAAATTTACCCGGGACAGTCCCAGTTTTGAGCCCTGTGTCTCCTGTCCCAGCAGATTTATACAAAACCACTAATTTGTCCAAGTTTTATACAAAAAATGTCCCAGGTGTCACTATTTCAGACCAATTTCGTCTAAATCAGGACCAAACTATGACTAAACCAGGACTAAACTACGGCTTAAATAGAAATATATCAGTTCTAAATCAGGTCTACTCTTTTGTATTTTTTCTCAGATTATGCATGTTCCTATTTTTGGACCAACTTGTGACCTGCCAACAGTAAAAAGAGGCATAAACTCTCATTTGTTTAAGTAAAATACAAAAAAACTGCTTAAAAAATTACTAAAAACACAAAGAAAACTAGACTATACTGACATTAGTGCCAAACAATTCTCCTTAATTACGCACTCGTTTCACAATTTATTATTATTTTTTTTTACCAACCACCACAAACCGGGGATGTATTAGTTTTTTATTTTGAAAATCTGGTCACTCTATACATGAAAGATGGATAAATTTAATGCCATACTGCGGAACAATCCACGCAAAGCAATAACATCTCCAGAGAGGCTAGAAAAGTTACATCGCGCACGTTTAAGATTTCTGAATTTAAGTCCTTTTAATTTGTCTGGAAATCCTTTTTATTTTTATTTATTTATTTATTTTTGCAGTGCGGTATCTCTAGCGCCATTTTAGAAACCCCACCTCTGCGGATTTGAACGGGAGTTTATGGTACAGCTAAACGTGTTCGGACTGAAAAGCCGTGCGTTGACTTGAGGCAGCTCGGTGTACTTAGGCGTCTGTGAGCGTCGAACGAGAGCGGGGACACGATGACTAAAGCTAGGAGGGAGCGTAGAGAGCGATACGAAGAAGTCTAGAGTGGTAAACGTCGCTACAGGTCAGCGTCGACGGCCATGTTGGGATGGTAGGTTCGACTACAGGCGCAAATGTAAACAAAAATAGGGGAGATGTACGGAACCAAATTAGGGCCAACTGATTAAAAATACATTTCAGAATAATGAAAAATAAAGTACAACAAAATTATTATGTCATGACAATTGATTGTTAAAAAAACTAATAATAAAATAAAAATACTGACAATATTATATGTTAAAAAAATAAATAAAATGCAAGCTTGTAAGATAAAAGATGTTTTTATTACGTTATAGTTTTCTGTATCTAATCAGTTGGCAGCAATTTAACAATCTTGTTTTTGGGCTTTTTCCACTGTCCCAAAATCGCATTTAAGAAAAAAAAAAAAAATTGCAATATTCCTGTTTTAGCCAGTTGTATTTAATTGTGATATATATGTTTTATAAAGAGCTCTCCAAAAAAAAAAAAAAAAAAAAAAAAAAAAAAAAGTGACAATTTTATATGTTAAAAAAAATAAATAAAATGCAAGCTTGTAAGAAAATGTAAGATGTTGTTATTATTACGTTATAGTTTTCTTGTTAATGTTTATATAATCAGTTGGCAGCATAAGTCTTCCATACATTTTGATTTATTTAATTTGACAATCTTGTTTTGGGGCTTTTTCAATTGTCCCAAAATTGCATTTAAGACAAAAAATAAATAATAAAAAAATAAATAAAATTGCAATATTCCTGTTTTAGCCAGTTATATTTAATTATAATAACATATATTTTTTAATAATGATCTCTTCATATAATTTATTGACAAATAATGAAACCACTGCTATATTAAAATGTAAACAGGGCTTATTTTCATTTTTATTTAAATTTAATTATTGTGTCTGAAGGGAACTGAAGATTTCCAATACAATACAAGATGTAAAAACAAACCTATTCATTGATTTCAGCTTCCAGTTACATATGGTGCCATTTTGAGGGCGGTAAAACCATTCAAAGACGTAAAATTTTGTTTGTTTCTTAATTTATCATCATTCTAAAACCCAATGTATTAAACATTTTTCCAATTACAGGCTACTTGAGATTAGAATTTCGCTTAACTTACAGTCTCAAGATGGCCGCTGTAGCAACTTTCTTGGTTTTGGACCACTCTAGAGTTCTGTTGCATCGCTGTGGGCAGTGCAGGTTTGCGACGGCGGAGGCACTGTGAACCTATCGCGAAATGGCTCAAGCTTTACATCTTTTTTAGCAACGACGTTAAATAACTCCCGACTCAGAGTAGAGCAACAGTCTAGAAAAAACGATACAGATCAGTGCATTTTTGAGACGATTCGACTAAATTGTGCAAGGGTTACGTGAGCGAATACGACGCGTGTACATGGGATAGGAATGTTTTTATTAAGCTGTAATGGAGCGGTTTGGAAAAAGAAATCAAAAAAGGCAGAAATCGTGTTTTTGTGTGCGAGTTTCAGTGGTTAATTTGTGAGCGAAAGCCTAAGAAAAGACATTAAAATTGATATTTCGAGAAGAGATTTCGACCAATATTGTCGTAAACCAGCTTAAAATGCAGTTCTAGGAAGTGCAAGAAGACGGTAAGTAGAAATTGAAACAGTTTTCGTCGATTCAGAAGTCTAAAAAGGCGTTACAATCCTTATTTCGACATACCGCCACTCCGACAGACCCCTACCCCGACATTCCATCATTCCGAAAACCCTCCATTCCGACATGCCCCATTCCGACAAATTTTTTTATGTTGCCATTCTGATAACCTACTCATAGTTTGGAGCTCCAGTTCATAAAAATATTGTCCCAAAAAAAGCGCCGCCGCAACTTGTGTGTCGGAATGGCGGAATGTTTTTTAAAAAAAAGAAAAAAAAAAATGTCGGTGTGCAGGGACGTTCGATAAAAAATGGAAATGCTGCCGCTCCGACACTTAGACGTCAATGTCGGAGTGGCGGTATGTCAGAATGGCAGCATTTAAGCATTCTAAAATTTAGTAACTTGAAAACTGTTCAATATTTATATGAAAAGAAGGGAACCACTTGTGAGCGACTCGTTTAACTTAAGTTCAGGTTTTACAAAATGACCATGCCAAGTGTTTAAAATTAGCATTAGAAACTGATTTTTTATTTAAAATTGAAACTGAAAATTGAATCGCAATCACAATTTTGTCTGAAAAATTCTATTAAACATACCCGTCAACGCAAATACGCAAATTGTTAAAAGGTTGTATAGAGGATTTTCCAAAGAAAGAAAAATTAGAGGTCTGCACTCCCGTCAGCAAAGAATTGTAATTTTCAGTCCCGCTCCCGCCCGCAAATTCCGAAAGATGGGGACATTCGCTTTCTTAAGATCTATCAAACACAAAGAAGCGGAAAGGAATTGTCTAAAATGTGCGTGCAGATTAGACCAAGTCCCCAAGTTTAGGCAGCGTCAAATGTTTTTATTAACGCCAAATAAAATATTCCAGCACAAATGATGTATGATAGACTTACATTCATCATTTGTATATTTTACTTTACACGCATATTTAGTTTGTGGGACTGTAGTTTGTCAACCCACCCGAACGCGCACACAATGAGCTTTCAAAATGTGTCTGGTCCCGCAGGAGTGCAGGGCTTTAAAGAAATTAAAATGTTGTGCATTCGTGATACCACCACCTTCCTCCACAGTTCCTTAAGTAGAAACGCCTCCTTCCTCCTTCTCCTTAAGCCCAATTTATGGTCGTGTATCAAATTGTCTACATCGCCTTGAACCCCGTTGAGGTGCGTCTACGTAGGCCGACATGCACCTCCAAATTTTCTAACTACGCACTGAAGCGAGGCAGACAATAAGGGCTACGATTGGTCCTTTCTAAATTCGCTCTACATACATTTCCGGTACTCCACATTCCCGCTTCATTTTCTAAAAACACGAACGCAACAAACGCAGTCCTCGCCTCCTAGTGTTATGGCGGTGAAAGACTAGACTTCGACGAAGATCCAGAAATCAAAACCAACAGCAGCAGTGAGCGCCGAGTCGGCACCGAACTGTAATCCGCCGTTTACACTAGAAATCATGCTTGTTCGCAGCCGCCGCGCGTTCAGAATCGCTGTTGAAGTTTCCTGTCCAGATGTAATTTAGCGACCAACGCGACCAATCTTCGTCTGCTTCAGTCGCGCCATCGCTGGAAGGAATCTCCAAGAACCACCGTAGTTTGGCTTCGCTCCTTTCTTTCTTCTTCTTTCAGCGACCTCAAAAACCGACTTTCTTTTGCGGCGAACTGGACGTCGATTCTTGTCCGCCATCGCGACAAACTTTGTGCAAATTGCGAGGAAGCTACAGTTCGAACAGTCCGCTAGGAATTCCTGCGTTGATCGAGTAAACGGCGTCTTGGTGAACGTAAATCGCGTAATCGAAGCGCGCCGGCGAGTTATTTACGCTAGAAACATCGGAAGTTTGATTGACAACTTAATGTTTATCTGGCCCACAATTGATGGATTTTTATTCTTTTATTTATTTAATTTTTTCTCTCTATAATGCTATTTTGAACTTTCAGCGACAATTTGAAACTAAAAAAAAAGTCCTCCATACAACCTTTAAGTGCGATGTCACTTCTTGGTCCATCAACTCATTGAGAACATGTTTACAATTCCGTAATTTTTTTATTTTTGCCTTCTTAGCACTGAATAGAAAGGTAGCGAGTTCTAAGATATAGTAGCGTTCTCGTTTTCTCTCTTCAAAAAAACAAAAAACAAAACATGCGGCAGACTTTTCAAAACATGCTCAAAAAGCTGCTAAAAATGCGCATATGACTTTTACTTTCACTTTCACTTTCGCATTGTTGCATTCACAGCATAAAACAGACGCCAACGCAGGACTCGAGCACGCGGAACGTCCGAGTGGTTTTTAAAAACAGTACAAAGCCCTCTTCTGCTACTGTGTTCTGAAATTTATACGAAATTATTGCAAAAAATATCAAAATCGTTGGGTAATAAAAGAATCGTTTAAAGTCCACTGCGAAAGTTTTAACATTTGTGATTTAATTTCTATCAGATTTAATTTTCAGATTAGGTTTTTTTGGTTTTTTTCATTTTGACAGTTGTAGGAACTAGAGCGATGGTTTGCGGTTCAATTCCCTCTCTACTCATTGCATAATGTTGTTGTGTTCTTGGGCAAGACACTAATTTTTGCGTCATGAATGTGTTATTTATTGTTATTGATTGACAGCAGAGGGAATTCAGCAACTACAGTGAAGGTTTGGGGTTCAATTCCCACACTACTCATTGCATAATATTGTTGTGTTCTTGGGCAAGACACTAATTTTTGCGGCGTGAATGTGTTGTTTGTTACAGGATTGGTGGTAGCAGGAATTTAGCAACTACAGTAAAGGTTTGAGGTTCTATTCCCACTCTACTCATTGCATACTAATGTTGTGTTCTTGAGCAAGACACTAATTTTTTGCGGGATGAATGTGTTATTTATTACATGATTGATGGTAATGGGAATTCAGCAACTATAATAAAGGTTTGCGGTTCAATTCCCACTTACTGTTGTCGTGTCCTCTGGCAAGACACTCCACTAAGTTTGAATGTATGAATGTGTTTATTTCATGAATTGTTTATTTCATGAATTTATTTCATGGCATTCAGCAGTTACAGTGAAGGTCTGCGGTTCAATTCCCACTACACTCACTGCATACTAATGATGTGTTCTTGGGCAAGACACTCCACTGATTTTGGCTGTATAAATGTTATTTACTTACATGATAGATGGGGGAATTCAGCAATTATAGTGAAGGTTTGAGGTTCAATTCCCACTCTACTCACTGCGTACATTGATGTGTTCTTGAGCAAGACACTAATTTAGGCTGTGTGAATGTGTTATGTACTTGTATGATTGATGGTAGTGGGAATTCAGCAACTACAGTAAAGGTTTACGGTTCAATTCCCACTATACTAACAGCATAATATTGTATTCTTGGGCAATACACTAATTTGGGATGTTATTGTTATGTTATTTATTACATGACTGACGGTAGAGGGAATTCAGCATCTATAGTGAAGGTTTGCGGTTCTATTCCCACTATACTCACTTCATACTGTTGTATTCTTGAGCAAGACACTAATTTAAGCTGCATGAATGTGTTATTTATTACTTGATTTGTGGTAGCAGGAATTCAGCGAAGGTTTGTGGTCCAATTCCCACATGTTGTTGTTGTGTTCTTGGGCAAGACACTCCAATGTTTTTGGCTGTATGAATGTTATTTACTTACATGACTGATGGTAGCAGGAATTCAGCAACTATAGTGAAGGTTTGCAGTTCTATTCCCACTCTACTCATTGCATACTGTTGTTGTGTTCTTGCGCAAAACACTAATTTTGTCTGTGTGAATGTGTTTTTTATTGTTAATGAGTTATGGTTTGGAAATTCATAAACTACAGTGAAGGTTCTGAGGTTCAGTTCCTACTTACTGTTGTTGTATCTTTAGGCAAGACACTAATTTCGGCTGCATGAATGTGTTATTTATTCCATGACTGATGGTAAGGGGAATTCAGCAACTACAGTGAAGGTTTGCGGCCCAATTCCACATGCTGTTGTTGTGTCCTTGGGCAAGACACTCCTCTAGTATTACCTTTATGAATTCACGATGTGTTTTCATGATCGTTTTCTTGCCAAAATCGCCCAAAATGAGTATTAAAAGTTAAGTTACTTCATCGTATTCCGTATTTTTACTAATAAAAAAAAGCAAAAGGTAGTGCATCTTTAAGCTTCTTTGTGTTCGTTATCGTGCACAGTGGCAGAACGGGCTACGGTGCGGGGAGAGGGTCAAAAAGGCTACAGAAGAAGCGTGAATATAGGGCGTACAATTCGATTCCATGTGGTTAAAATCCCATATACATAGTAGTACATATGATACAATAATACAACAAGATTCAGATTAAGGATGGAAAAAACGAGTGGAGATATTTCAACAAAGTTTAGTTAAAAAGGTGCACTGTGTAACTTTTTTTTGTCTGGAATGCTTCACAGTATGGCATTAAACCTTTCTTTCTTCATGGAAACCAAAACAGACCAAGTTACAGGTCAGATCTGTGGAGAGGCGACCCTGATCACAGTCAGAATGCTTGTTTTTCTAGGTATTTTTGAGCTTTAAAACCACCTGTAATTGAATAAATGTAAAGTAGAGCTGTTTAAAGTCATACTGTGGAACATTCCAGGCAGAGCGACGACGTATCCGTAGAAACAAGCAGGTGACGGTCCCCCGGCTAAAAAGTTACACAGTGCAGCTTTAAGAAACAGAAGTAAGGCAAGGTAAGACACTGATGAATTTATTCGTAAGAAGCAACACAGTGAAAAGTAAATATATTTAAATAAAAAAATAAGAGGCTTTTAAAATGTCAAAACCTCTTACAACACTACACAAAATGTTAAGTAAATAATTAATACAAATTAACATAAAGACGTATTTAATTCACTTGGCAACAGACACAGCAGCCTCTCTTTTTAAAACGCTTGTCTCATATTTCTCCAAACATTTTCAGTTCAGTTTGGCCAAAGACCAAACCAGTTAAAACATTATTCTCAAATGTTCATATTTTTGTTCTTTTTTACAATTTTCATGAACAGAAATGAAAATATCCCGATAGCCATAGTTAGATTTGTTTATTTATTCACATTTTAAACCATGTTGTAACTCTGAAGTTGGCAATAAATAACTGTAAGCATTATTACACGAAAACATAAAGATGCACTATGTAACATTTCTGTAGAAGAAGAGCTCGCCACGTGCTCGTCTCCATGGAGATGTTAAATCTTTGTCTGGAATGTTCGATGCATTTGTCAGAATAATTTTATTATCCCATATTTGCTAAATACTTGTGTGATATTCTATGCCTATGAGTTAACCATTTATGTACTACAATTCCAATCACATCGCACAGACACATACTTTAAACCTAAATCTCCATGGAGACTAAACGTGGCACCGGCAAGTTACAGGTCAGATCTGAGAAGAGACGAGCCCGTTCAAAGTAAGTCAGTCTGTTTTTTAATGGTATTTTGCACAATATAAGCACCCGTAACAGGGTAAATTCAAGATAAATAGGTTCAATGCCATACTGTGGGACATTTCAGGCAAAAAAATAACATCTCCATGGTACGGCGAAGTTACAGATCAGATCTAAGGAGAGGCTAGGCCATTCAAAGTAAGTCTGTATTTTTGCACAAGATAAACCCAATTATTGAGTAAATACAAGATATATGTTTAATGCCATACTGTGGAACATTTCAGGCACAAAGTAACATGTCCATGGAGACAAAGGGTGTCACTGGGAAGTTACAGATCAGATCTAAGGAGAGGTGAGCCCACTCAATCACAGTAAGAGTGTCTCCTTTTCAAGGTATTTTTGTGCAATATAAACACCAGTAATTGAGTAAATTCAAGATATTTAGGTTTAATGCCATACTGTGAAACATTTCAGGCAAGACATAACATCTCCATGGAGACAAAAGGTGACACCAACAAGTTACAGGTCAGATCTGAGAAGAGGCGAGCCCATTCCAAGTAAATAAATCTGTTTTTCATGGTATTTTTGTGCAATATAAAAGCAGAAATTCAATAAATTCAAGATATTTAGGTTCAGTGCCATACTGTGGAACATTTCAGACAAGAAATAACATCTCCATGGAGACTCAAGTTCTCACCAGAAAGTTACAGGTCAGATCTGAGAAGAGGCAAGCCCATTCAAAGTAAATAAATCTGTTTTTCATGGTATTTTTGCACAATATAAACAACAGCAATTGCGTAAATACAAGATATATATGTTCAGTGCCATACTATGGAACATTTCAGGCAAAAAAATAACATCTCCATGGAGATTTAAGTTGTCACCTGTAAGTTACAGGTCAGATCTGAGAAGAGGCAAGCCCATTCAAAGTAAGTAAGTCTGTTTTTCTTGGTATTTTTGTGCAGTATAAACACCAAAAACTGAGTAAATTCAAGATATATAGGTTCAATGGCATACTGTGGAACATTTCAGGCAAGAAATAACATCTCCATGGAGACAAAGGGTGTCACAAGCAAGTTACAGGTCAGATCTGAGAAGAGGCGAGCCCATTCGAAGAAAATGTCTGTGTTTTGGCGCAATATAAAACCAGTAATTTAGTAAGTACAAGAAATAAATAAGAAGTGGGTGGCTGACGTTGACCAGAAATGTTACACAATGCATCTTTAATACTTAAAAAAAACAAAAAAAAACATACAAATCTCTCCACTCGCTTTCCCCACGGCTGAATAGTAGTAATAGATCAAAAAGTGGACAGACAGACGGAGGATAAATACAGGCTAAAAGAGAAGAAAAATCACATTCATATTTAAGACCTTAAGAGTCAGCGCCTCTACAGTAATGAAATACGGACTGTCCTGCAATCGCCTGGTACAGACACGGGGGGGGCGCCCAAGTGACCTCTGACCCCTACGAGACCGGGGGGCGCGGGACAGAGACTCGGCCGTGGTCCCCTCAGGCAGTCTGTTTTCAAGGGGAGGGTTAGGGGGCGCTAAAGGCTCGTTACGCTCGCATTTTGGACGCAAACAGACGTGTCAGTTCGAAACCATAAATGTTAAAAATCGCCGCTTTTTACACATTCAAGAATTGCGTAATATGACCACTAGGGGGCGCACGGAAGCTGCACTTTTCAGACTACTTTTGGACACCTTGGCCTTTCTCGTTTTGTAACTTCACAACGATTTAAAATGTATGAAAATGACAATAAAATTCAGTCTTTTTCTGTGTATTCGAAAGCTCTCGGTTGCCAGTAGAGGGCGCAAAAGCTCATAATTTGCTTCGGCGTACTACTCTCGCTCACATCGGTCAGTTTAATTCATGCTGAAAACAACAGCTGCTTAACTTCGAGACGCTACGATCCGTTTGCGTAGTGGATGCGGAGTATAAACGAGCCTTTAGGAGAGATCGTGGTCGGGTTTAGAAGACCAGAGGAGAGCGGGAGGGGCAGATGGTTTGGTCACGTGGCGAGGGGGGCGGGGTCACGTGGCGAAGGGAGAGGGTGCGGCGGGGCTAGATGTTTTGACAGCACTGCATCTTTGGCTTGTTCTCGGTGGGCTGTACCTGGATGTTCACCACGTTGTTGCTCGGAGACATGTCGCTCTCCTGACGCTCCGACATCTGTTTCTGTGACACGATGCGGTAGATCTCTGGAAAAAACAAGACACAGAAAAGTTACGGTTGTTCTGATACCGATACTGGTGTCAGCAGAAGCTCCGATACGCCACATTTTTCGTGTATCGTATCGGAGAGTGCTCAGACCAAATCACCGATCCGATAGTGATGGGCAAATGAGACGGAGCTCCGGAGCTCGTCTCGTTCTTTCTGAAACAAATTGCTCGTTTCGCAGCAGCCGCTCACGTGACCAAAGTGTTTAAGTGTCGGTCCCTCCCCCTGCTGCTTCGCTCTGCGTGTCAGTCGCTTCAGTGTATCGAAGCGTTTCATTGGCTCAACGAATGTTGTGATTGGTTCAGAGTGTTCAGAGTGTTAAACCACTTCCGTGGTTTAACAAGCGCTAAACTGCTACAGTATAAAAGATGCACCAATATTTCTTAAAAATGTTGGTAGTGAGGAGGATTGTGTGACATTAGTGGTGATTTTGGCGACTTTTGACATTTGTTTCATTTTCAATGGCATCTACAAGTGGAAAAAAGCGATCCATGGTTTGAGATTAGGGACGGGCATTCGATGAAATTTTCTTAATCGATCGTTGGAAGAATTAACGATTGATTATCGATTAATCATTAACGTTTTTATATTAAAATTATCATCATTATTATTACTATCTGCACTAATCTGCATAAATAAATTCAACTTTACGACATATAAACCGTAACGACTCTAGAGCCACATCAATCCTTTTGAGATTATAATGTGTTTAATTCAGTTTTGTTCAACTCTCACAGAAATGAAACTTAAAACTGCATCGCTAATTTGCATAAACTAAGCGAAGATAAAACTACAGCTCTTGTGTCGCTGATGTGGTCAATTTCTGTTGGATTAGAAGACATGACTCAGGTGAATACAGGTTAGTGTGACTATATTTGCGTTTGTCAAAACCAGGACACCGTACGGGGGGAGGGAGGTGGGGACTCGTCATCGACATTGAGCAACTCTCACCTGGTAAAACTTTTTCCCACTGGACACCGAAACATATGTGCTGCTTTATACACTGTGCACATGGACTCACACTTGTCCCGAACGCAATGGAAAGCATGGAATTTCTTGTACAAGTCATCGTTAAATACACATTTGTGCTTCGGTACGTTGCAGACTGACCCACTGTTTGTGTCTCGCTCCTTCTGAGTGCAGAGAGACACATGTACAGACCCTGTTTGGTCATGCTACACTACAGCAACCTACATTCGGTTTGTCAATTAAAATTAACGTAATCGATGAAATTCTTAATGATCAATTATCAATTAATCGACTAATCATGTCCATCCCTATTTGAGATCACTTTGATCTAATTCCACCTAACAAGGTCACCTATTTTCTTATTTACAGCATGTTATTTATGTTTTATTTATGTTCTTTACATATTATTTTAAATCATCGTTATTATTGTTGTTGTTGTTGTTGTTAGGTACGGTGTCGCTCTGCACACAAGTTTTGTCTTACACTAACAATACTTCATCGATGCTGAGACACCTGCGTGACAATGGTTACATTTATCCACTAGAGGTCAGTGTTTCTCCAAGGCCTCAGACACGTCAAACTATTTCAGACAATATTGCAGCTGAGGTGTCAATGCTTCAAGAGGCTCCGTTCGCCCGTCACTTCTACTCTGTATTTTTCACAATGACGACCTGTAGATGTGAGCGCAGCTGCTATAACGTCCAGAGTAGTTTAAACGTAAACTATGGAGGCTCTTTAGACTCTTAAAACTTGCTGATAATGACAGAAAAGACATTTGTGTTTCCTCCTTGATACCTTCATTTAACTTTTTAAACTTTTCACTTAGAAGAAAAACTGAGCTATGGAAAAATGCAGCCCCAAAACAGCAGCAACAGCACTAACTCGGACTTTGTTTACTCTGCATTATTCACGTGTTTCGAGGAGGAGTGTCTTTTTACAGATCTCACTGTTGGTTTTATCCATAGTCTGCGGTAAGAAGTAATGAATTAGAAAAGTATAAGTGCTTAAATCAGCATCACTTACGGTCAAAAACATTATATATTTGACTCACTTAATTCTCAAAATCTAATTTATTCTATAGATTTTCTTTAGAGACAGCCTTTTAGTAGATTTTCTTTGTTGCTCTTGTACTGAAACAAAATTGAGAAGCCTTAGTCTACTTATGGTATTGGTATCGGCAAGTACACTAAGATATCGGAACAACAGTAGTAACTACGCACAGCAAGAGGGATTCTCGCAATATTTGTGAGACTTATGAGAAACCATATTGAGATACTCCGGCTGTAAGGCTCAAATTCGCCCGGCAACAGGTGGACCAATCGTTAGAGATGTAACGATATCCAAATCTCTCGATACGATATTTTCCTCGATATGTATCTCACCGTACGATATTTACTGTGATTAGGGCTGGATATCATTCAAAATGGGCCGATACGATACATATCGCAATACAGTGAGCTTACGATTCGATATAATTCAATACGATATATTTTAAATCAGTTCGATACGGTCCAATAAAAAATAATGTCTAAATCATGGCTGTGATACTAAAAGTCTTTGTTGAACCACTTCTTGTGCAAAGTTCATATGAAACACAAACGTTTTAATCCTCAAAATCCTCAAAGTGAAAATGTCTGTAAACTGTAGCTGTAACTAAATAATTTAGTAAAATATACCAAAATTTAAAAAAAACTCTTGGTGATGTATCGATACAGCAGCCCACGATATCGATACTGTATCATCACATTAAACGATACGATATATCAATATTTCAATATTTCTGCACACCCCTAACTGTGATATTATTTTGTGGAGTCTAACAAAACTATGAATACATCACTTTTTCCTCTTAAAATGCCTTGACGAGCCTACAAGAGAAGTACGATTTAAAGATTTAAAAGTGCTTAGAACTGTTATTTCTTCTTGTAGTCTGCACTGAAATGGAGCAAAGGATCATGGTCTATGTAGTTCCCTGTGTTTTTTAGCTACTGCTGCACCAAAACTCTTCATTTATGTAAAGAGACTTGTGATTCGATATATTGTGATGTTCCACGATATTATTGTTACATCCAACTGAGGTTTGTGAGGAAACCAAAGGTGAAACACCGAAACGAACCAAAACAACATAATTTTAGCAAAATTATGGACTGTTATTTATTTTTATTTGACACCAGTCTCTTGCTATTTTTGCTACTTATTTAAAATGTATTATTACCTTTTTCTTCTGTGTCCAAATAATTTCCCTTGTGGATCAACAGTTTGTCTAAGTCTAAGTAAGACTATTGAAAAACTCTGCAGAAGTAAAGAAAAGATCTTGGTGCATTTGTGGAGAAGATGCCTGTGCTTTTCTCTAAACTGGAAGTAACAAAAATCTGATTCAAGTGGTCGTCATGATCCAGCTCCAACTCGTGGTGCTCAAGACGAGACTACGTTTATTTGATGACGGTGTGAACAAAAGACGCAAAAGTGCTGTCGCGTTTTCACTTTTTATTCCAAGTTTAAATGTTTTCAGGAGGAAATCTGCGTTCATACGGGGATGCAAAAGTGTGTGGAATTGGATTGTGAATGTTTGTACTTAAAGCAACAAGGGCATTTTCGGACATATGGAACTTTTCACGCCGCACATTTTCATCAGCTCCTCCTTCCACAAAGTTGTTCCACCATCGACTGGCTTCTCCAGGTCTCGTCCCGATCCGTCTGACTCACCTGCGACGACCTGGTGCATCCAGAATTTGACAGAGGTGATTGCAGATCCTTCTCTGTTCACTAATAATACCTCTGCAGATTCTCGACATTTGTTGGAAGCCTCCTGTAAGTTTATTAAAAGCTTGAAGGTCCGACGCATTTAAATAATTCAACATGTTTGTTTTTGTGTACTGTATGTTTGTTGACGTAAACATGTACACGACCTGAGCCGATCTGACCAGAGTTTTGCATCTTGGGCAGTGTAGACGGAAACACTACGGCAGAGCGTATTTAACTTTTCCACTCTGGAGGGCGGTTTCAGATTTTTGTGTTTTTAAGCCCCAAAAACACAGACACCATCTAAACCACAGGTGTCAAACATAAGGCCCGGGGGCCAGATCCGACCCTCCAAGACCTTTAATGTGGCCCTTGGGTGATTTTCTACTAAAATATTTTAATTATATTTTCTATTAAAATATTGGTAATTTTCTGCGGTGCTTCTCATAGCGTCTCCAGCGTCTCTGTACGTGGCTCCTCCCACCAGAGCAGCACAAATGAAGACTTGTCTCTTTCCAAACGCTCTTAAAGGACGATCGTTTTGACTGTTGACCGTGACACCCTCATCAACAAAATGTCCAACATGAGAAAAGTGGAGCCGAGTGCAGGATTTTCCAAGAAAAATGGACTTATTCCTATTTGCATACAAGTTCATGTTAAAACATTGTGTTGAAATTGAATTTTTCTTAAAGTTTCAGGTTGTTCATAATATATAATATTATATTATAATAAAAGAAAGAGTTCATCAATTAAAAAAGATTTCTGTAATAGATTTGTGTTTCTCTGCACAAATATTTGAACTTATTGTTATTTTTGGGGTTTATATGCCATGAGTTTTCTGATCCGGCCCCTTTGAGATCAAAGTAGGTTGGATACGACCCCCGGACCAAAATGAGTTTGACACCCCTGGTCTAAATGAAAAAGCACTTCCAATAAAATATTTTCTTGTTTTTACCCGCAAGTGTTCTCATGTAAACAGGCCCTTACGTTCTGGCTTTTAACACCATGTGAGTTGCGTGGTCCTCTGTTTCTTTCATTTATTTTACTTATTTATTGCTATTTTATGACTTTTATGGTTTTGCTTTTATTTGATTTTGACTGTTTTTTATTGTTTTAGGGCTGGTATGATCAGATTTTTAGCAATTTACCTTTTTCGCTGTCTTCATTTTATGTTCTCTGTGCAGCACTTTGGAAACTGCTTTGTTTGTAAACTGTGCCATAGAAATAAAGTGGATTTGGGTTTGTATCTGCGTTTCCCGATCTCTTTCAGTGAGAGACGATAACATGCGACTCTTATCAGATTCATTTCCCCGGTGGAGAAATAAAATAAAGTGTTGTTCACCTGTGAGGATGGTCTGGAAGGCCGTCTCGACGTTGGTGGAGTCGAGCGCAGACGTCTCCAGGAAAGATAATCCGTTTTTCTCTGAAGGAAAAGAAACGGCAGCACATGTTTGACTCATGTTAGACTCTTATCAGATACAGGCATTCCACAGATACACACACACACAGACACACACACAGAGATGCACAGATACACACACACAGAGACACACACACACAGAGACACACACAGAGATGCACAGATACACAGACACACACACAGAGACACACACACAGATAGACACACACAGAGACACAGAGAGAGAGAGAGACACACACACACCGAGAAAGACACACACAGATACACACAGAAAAACACACACATACCGAGAGAGACATAGACACAGAGACACACAGAGACACACAAACACACACACAGAGACACACAGAGACACACATAGAGAGACACACACAGAGACACACACACAAGAGACACACAGAGACACACAGACACACAGAGACACACAGAGACACAAGAGACACACACAAGAGACACACAGAACACAGACACACACACAGAGACACACACACAAGAGACACATAGAGACACACAGAGACACAGAGACACACACACAGAGACACACACAGACACACAAGAGACACACAGAGACACACACAGATACACACAGAGACACACAGAGACACAGAGAGACACACAGAGACACAAGACACACACACAGAGACACAAGAGACAGAGACACACACAGAGACACACAGAGATACACACACAAGACACACAGAGACACACAGACACACAGAGACACACACAGAGAGACACACAGAGACACACAGAGACACACACACAAGAGACACAGAGACACACACAGAGACACACAGAGACACAAGAGATACACACAGAGATACACACAGAGACACACAGAGACACACAGATACACACAGAGATACACACAGAGATCACACAGAGACACAAGAGACACAGAGACACACACAGAGACACACACAAGAGACACACACGAGATACACACAGAGACACACACAGACACACAGACACAGAGACACACAGAGACACACAGAGACACAAGAGACACACAGAGACACACAGAGACACAAGAGACACACACACAGAGACACAAGACACACACAGACACACACAGAGAGACACACAGAGACACAGAGAGAGAGACACAGAGATACACACAGAGACACAAGAGATACACACACACAGAGACACACAGAGATAGACACACAGAGACACACACAAGAGACACACACAGAGATACACACAGAGACACAAGAGACACACAGAGAGACACACACAGAGACACACACAGAGACACAAGAGATACACACAGAGACACACAGAGACACACACAGAGACACAGAGACACCATAGAGACACAGAGATACACACAGAGACACACAAGAGATACACACACACAGAGACACACACAGAGACACACACAGAGACACACACAGAGACACACAGAGACACACACACAGAGAGACACACAGAGACACAGAGACACACAGAGACACAAGAGAACACAGAGATACACACACACAGAGACACACACAGAGACACACAAGAGACACACAGAGACACACAGAGACACACACAGAGACACAGAGATACACACAGAGATACACACAGAGAGACACACAGAGACACAAGAGATACACACAGAGAGAGACACAGAGACACAAGAGACACACAAAGAAAGAGACACACACAGAGACACACACACACACAGAGACACACACAGAGAGACACACAGAGAGAGACACACACACACAGAGATACACACACAGAGACACACACAGAGACACACACACAGACACAAGAGACACACACGAGACACACACAGAGCACACAAGAGACACACACAGAGACACACACAGAGACACACAGAGACACACAGAGACACACACAGAGACACACAGAGACACACACAGACACACACACAGACACAGAGAGACACACAGAGACACAAGAGACACACACAGACACAGAGAGACACACAGAGACACACAGAGACACACACAGAGACACACAGAGAGACACACAGAGATACACACAGAGACACACACACACAGACACACACAGAGACACACACAGAGACACACACAGAGACACAAGAGACACACACAGAGATACACACAGAGACACACACAGAGACACAAGAGACACACACAGAGACACAAGAGACACACAGAGACACACAGAGAGACACACACAGAGACACACAGACACACACAGAGACACAGAGACACACAGAGACACAAGAGACACACACAGAGACACACACAGAGACACAAGAGATACACACAGAGACACAGAGTGAGACACACAGAGAGAGACACACAGAGACACAAGAGACACACAAGAGACACAGAGAACACACAGAGAGACACAGAGTGAGACACACAGAGAGAGACACACAGAGACACAAGAGACACACAAATACACAAGAGATACACACAGAGAGAGAGACACAGAGACAAGAAATACACAGAGAGAGACAGACAGACACACACAGACAAAGAAAGACACACAGAGACATACACAACAAGACACATAGAAAGACAGAGACACACTCACGCAGACAGACAGAGAGACACACACAGAGTGAGACACACAGACACAATCAGAAAGAAACAAGAGACACACACAGACACTCCCAGGACACACACACATAGACACACACACATAGACACACACACAGAGACACATACAGAACCTGAATATTTAAGAGTTTTAAAGACCAAAAACACTCCCCTGAAATAATCAATACACATTTATAATATATAACAGCCTCATTTTAACAGCAAGAGCAGGAGGAATCACTGCGCCCTCTGCTGGCCTTTTCCATACTTACACTTCAGAAGAACAGAGTTTATGCTAAATCAATTAAGTCTAAATAACTTAATTCTGCCTTTTAATCCAGTTATAGATCACTACAAAGCTGGGTATCATTAAATTGCAGATACGATACATATCTCGACACACACGCCATGATAAGATATGTTTTTTTGAAACAGTGCACTTTTTATTCAATACGGTTCGATACGATATATTTCAAACTGATTCAGTACAGTTCAGTGAAAAACAAAGGCTAAAAAATCATGGCTTTGATACTAAATGTCTACCAAGTCCATTAAATCTGTGCAAAGTGAATATGAAAAACACCCACTTTACTCAAAACTGTGAAAATATCAACACAATTGTAGCTCTTACGCAAAATAATTCAGTAAAATGTACCTAAAAATACAATATATCAATACAGCAGCCTATGATATCAATAATGTATCATCAAATTAAACTATACGATATATCACTATTTTAATATTTTTGCACTCCCCCAGCCTCACTGGTTTTGTTTGTTCAAAAGCGGCACAGTCATTAGTCACAGATCTGAGTCAGACACACGGATTTTTAAATTATTCAAAACAACTGAGTAATCCTGGAGCGGAGAGGGTCCCAGAGACGACCGACGAGACGCCAGTAAATGACAAACTCGGCTGTGAACAGGAGGGAATGAAGCAGAGGGGCAAATTAGTCAGAATATGAACAGGCCGTGGCTCGTGTGAAAGCTCAGAACCTCCAGAATGTTGATGTTAATTAGTAGTTAACTATAAACAAAAAAAAAGTACAGGGTGGGCGATCCATATATCAGGATTTTCTTAAAACCAGATCATAATTTAGATTTTTAGTCATATTGTCTTCAAGAGATCATCTTTTTCCTCTGTAAGTTCACAATTTATTACATTTAGTCTTGTCACAATACTAACATTTCAAACTCGATTTCAATTCTAAGGAACAGACTCGATACTCAATACCAATTCTGATACCACAATGATAATAAAAACCCTCTTTGTTTAGAAAATAGAATGTAATTTTCGACATTAAATAATAGTGCTGTTCTGTTCCCATGTGGCTCAGGGTTTAATTTGATTTTACTCTCAGTATTTTGAAATGCAAATAAATCACCTGAAGAGGTACAGGTCACTCGTAACAACAAAGGAATATGATGTGGATGAAAATGAATACAGAATGAAAAGATAATATTTAGTATTCAAACTAGAGGAACATTCAAATCTGCTGGTACACGGCCGACTTTTAACAGGAGCTTTTCAAGGGAGGGTTCAGGCCCATAGTACTTTTATATTCCCATGTGGTCTTTTATCTGTGTACCGTATTTTTTTTACTATAAATCGCACTTCTTTTTCATGGTTTGGATGGTCCTTATATTCCAGTGCTTCTTATGTATTAAAATTTTCACTCTGCCAGCCATGAGAGGCTCTAGTCTTGTGTGTGAGTATCTGCTGCTCCTGTTCCTCCTGTACCACTGTCACTTCACTCTACTGCGCATGTCTCCTGCAGAAAGAGCCTCTGTCCTGTCTGTATCATGTCAGTCGATCGCACCGTTACTTCTGCACCACTGAACAATTTAACATTTAAACAAACTTATAAAGACGACTGAGAAGACTGAACACAAATGCCCCCAAAAAGAAAATAACATTTTGCAGATTACAAACTGCAAATAGTGAAATCTACTAGGGGTGTGCAAAAATATCGGAATATCGATATATCGTATCATTTAATGTGATGATACAGTATTGATATCGTGGGCTACTGTATTGATATTTCACCAAGAGTATTTTTAGGTGTGTTTTACTAAATTATTTTGTTACAGCGCTACAGTTTTGTTGCTTGTGGAGTGAAAGGAAACTCATTTATGCAACACATTTGACATTTTGAGGATTAAAATGTTTGTGTTTCATATGAACTTTGCACAAGAAGTGGTTTAACAAAGACTTTTTGTCACAGCCATGATTTAGCCTTTATTTTTTATTGAATTGTATCGAATCGATTTGAATTATATCAAATCGAATCGAAAATGCACTGTATCGGTATATGTATCGTATCGTGGCCTGTGTATAGAGATATGTATCGTATCGGGAACTTCTGAATGATACCCAGCCCTAAAATCTACAGCTGAAAACGGTAATCGAGCAGCAGAAAGAAAGTTTGGAGTGAGAGAAACTTGTGACACTGGGAGGATGCACCATGAAACTTTCCTGAAGTCACTGGATGGACGGACAAAGTCTGGACTTCAGTGACACCGAAACCATCCTGTCGGGATTCAAAAAGACCCGAATAATTCTAACTGGATCTGATGCTGAGTCTGACGACAGCGACACAGAAGAGGAAGCGGCGCTCTGTTTACCTCCGGAGGTCGAGGCCGAGTTGCTCAGAAGTGACACCGAGGATGAAGAATTGAATGGATATAGTGATTTGGAGTGAGATGGAGAGTTTGTTCAACCTGTTCTGTTGTTTATGTTATATTTATCTGAAGAACTGTTCATATGTGATGTTAACAGTCTGTTGTTCTCTCTTCTATTGTTTTTACTACAACTTGACTTTACACAGGAAATGTCGGTTCCTGGTTTCTGATTTCATAAAATAAATTTCCTCCTAAAAGTGCTATTGTTTTTTTCTTCTTCATTACACATTTTTTGGCTGGTGTGGCTTATACACTAGAATGACTTAATACAATAATCCCTCAGTGTTCTATGGGCGTATACAAGTCTATGTGCTCTTATACTTGTTCTGACACAGCTCAAGATCATTCTAAAACTCTTCAGGAAAGGGTCATTTCTGTCCTGTGAATGTTACTTTTTTAGTATAGTTACCTGCTCAAATTACTATCTGGCTTTAATATCTGATTTTCAAGACTTTTGACCCTATACAGCACAAACTTTAAAAACTAAAGCAGTAAATTGACTTTAGTTTCTCCGCGTCTCACCTGCGAATGCCCGGGCCTCGTCTGTGGGCACTGCCCGTAGGTGGCGCAGGTCGCTCTTGTTCCCCACCAGCATGATGACGATGTTCGAGTCCGCGTGGTCCCTCAGCTCCTTCAGCCACCGCTCCACGTTCTCATACGTCAAGTGTTTGGCAATGTCGTACACCAGCAGCGCCCCCACTGCCCCGCGGTAGTAACTGCAGACAGAAGGAACAGACGGTAGATATAAAAGATTAGGAGATGTTCAGGCAAATAATGGGAATTTTTAATAATAAAAAAAATATGTAACACTTGTAGAGCACTTTTCATGACACTTCACACAGTTCAAGACAAAACACAAACAAAAGAAACAGATAAAAAAGGATACAGTTATTTGAAGGCTGATTTGAAGATGAGTTTTTTTGAAGATAAAGAGTGTGGATGAGTCTCTGATGTGTTTGCAGAGGGAGTTTCCGAGGGTGGGGGCTGCAGCGGGGAAGGAGGATCGGAAAGCATGGATCCGGCCCTCCAAGGACTTTAACTGGCCCTTGGCTGGTTTTCTACTAAAATATTTTAATTATATTTTCTATTAAAATATTGATAATTTTCTGCGGTGCTCAGCATAGCAGCGTCTCCAGCGTCTCTGTACGTGGCCCCTCCCACCAGAGCAGCACAAATGAAGACTTGTCTCTTTCCAAACGCTCTTAAAGGACGATCGTTTTGACTGTTGACCGTGACACCCTCATCAACAAAATGTCAAACATGAGAAAAGTGGAGCCAAGTGCAGGATTTTCCAAGAAAAATTAACTTATTCCTATTTGCATACAAGTTCATGTTAAAACATTGTGTTGAAATCACATTTTTCTTAAAGTTTCAGGTTGTTCATAATATTATAATATTTTGTAAAAAAAAAGTTCATCATTTATTAAAAGATTTCTGTAATAGATTTGCATTTCTCTGCACAAATATTTGAACTTATTGTTATTTTGGAGGTTTATATGTCATGAGTTTTCTGATCCGGCCCTTTTGGGATCAAAGTCGGCTGGATACGGCCCCCGGACCAAAATGAGTTTGACACCCCTGCTTTAGAGTGAACGTGGTGTGTGTGTTTGTGTTCAGAGTGGACATTAGACAATACTGAAATTTGCCGTCACTACTTTCATGACCAAAATAACTCGGATTAACAAATTATATTACAATAATGATTAAAGTTGTTGACAGTTTTAAAATGTCATAGATATGAATAAGTGTTATTTTAATGTTAATATGAATAGGTTCCATATCTAAAACACTGTTATTATTGTTTTCACTGATAACAAAGTACAATCTTATGATTTAGAAGAGAACATCAAGCTTTAATCTGCACATTCTGGTGATAAAAATTTATTATTTTTATTATATTTGTTGGCGATTCTCACGATTCTATCAAATGTACACCAACGATTATTGCCTGTTTAATCTTTTTACTTTTACTTTACTTTTAAGACTATATTTGGAACTCTGTTTTAGTTTTTGTTAGGGATGTAACAATAACCGAAATATCATGATATCGTATCGTCAAAGTTCTTACAATAACATCGTGAACCATCACAATATATCGAATCACAAGTCTCTTTGCTTAAATGAAGAGTTATGGTGCAGCAATAGCTAAAAAAAAAACACAGAGGGAACTACATAGACCATGATCCTTTGCTCCATTTCAGTGCAGACTACAAGAAGAAATAACAGTTCTATCACTTTTAAGTCTTAGTTTTTTGGATTAAGTCTTGTCAAGGCATTTTAAAAAGGAAAAAGTCGCATATTAACAGTTTTTGTTCAAATTTGACTTATTCTGTGTCTAACAGTCTTGTGTGAGTGAGTGTGTGTGGTGTGTGTTTGTGTTTGGTTGTGTTGATTTTGCTGTTTTGTTTTTTTCTCTGTTTATTTGAATTTATGTATCCTCCTGTCTGCCCGACTGCATCTGTCTTCTGTTGTTGTGACTATGAGGACCCCCTCGAAAAAGAGATGGTGAGTAGGGCTGGGTATCATTAAGAAGCTGCCGATACGATACATATCTCGATACAGTGCATTTTCGATTCAATACAATATATTTCAAATCCATTCAATACAGTTCAATAAAATATAAAGGCTAAATCATGTCTGTGATACTAAAAGTCTTTGTTAAACCACTTCTTGTGCAAAGTTCATAACAGTAAATATGTCAAAAGTGTCGCATAAACGAGTTTCCTTCCTGTAAACAAGCAACAAAACTGTAGCTGTAACAAAATGATTTAGTAAAATATACCAAAAAATACTCTTGGTGATATATCGAAACAGCAGCCCTCGATATCAATACTGTATCATCACATTAAATGATATTTTTGCACACCCCTAATGGCGAGACATCTCAAGGGGCTTATCCTCCAAACAAATAATTTCAAATTCAATTCAGATTTTATCATGATAAACAACATGGGGGCTGATGGCACTGATTGGCAGCCTCGCTTCTGTCAGTCTGTCCCAGGGCAGCTATGGCTACAATAGTATTTTACAGTGGAGAGAATGAATAATGACAAAGTGTAGGGCTTAGGGAGGCTCTGACAAACCTGTAGAGGCGTTATCTTTAGGGATGGGACAAGATCTCGTGAGTTAAAATTGCCACGAGATCGTGCACATGTGAGAAAAATTATCTTGTGAGACTTTTTTCCCCCTGAATTTACCTTTGTCTGGGACTTAAAAAAAAAAAAAAAAGTTAAGAGAGTTAAGAGCTGGTGACTTATACAATTTGAGAAGCTGTAGTTCCACAAAGCTGTAGTATAATGACTGCTAAATAAACAATTACACAAAATAAACAAAAATAATGAAGCCAAAATTGTGAAATGGATAGCACTACTTTAATACAAAGACTTTATTACAAATTATGTCAAAATCTCATCTTGTCTCGTTCTCTAATCGCGTGGTGTGTCTCGTCTCGTGAAAATTTAGTCTCGTCCCACCCCTTTTTATCTCCATTCATGGACAGAAGTAGCGGCATGAGTCAGTGCAGTGAGCCATACGTGCGCTGTAACGTGAACAATTGAATACATTATACTATTGTTGCATCCCGACTAAAGGATTAATCTATTTTCCCTCGGCTAATTGCTCTTGTCTCGTTTAAGTGGAGCCGTGTGTGTCATCAGCGCTTGTGGAGGTGGTACGGCGTGACCAACAGGCTCTGCTGCCGAGGGAGTGTCTCCGCACAAAAGGAGCGGGTGTGGCCTCAACCCGAAATAGTCTCATCTGGAACCAACTGCGCCCACAGAGTCAGGGGCAAAGAATCATGGGAGGTGAAGGACTCAGGAGTAAGGATGCCAAGGCAAGTATTGTCAAGTTTTATGTGTTTATGATGACATGAACTTTACGATGTGTAATAGGGCTGGGTGTCATTAAGAAGTTGCCAACACAATTTCGATACAGTGCACTTTTGATTCAATGCGATATATTTCAAATCAAATCGATACAGTTCAGTTAGAAAAATGTCTAAATCATGGCTATGATACTATTTTTTTAAATTCTCCTCCCCCTGTCCTAATGTTATGCTCCATTGTTTATTCCTGTTTACTACCCGTCTCCTGGTCCATGTCATATTGTAATGTACAGACGGGGTGACAGGTCCAATCTCGATTCCTTCGTATGTCCAATACATGTGAAGAAATTGTCAATAAAGGTCATTATTCATGAAAGTAGTGTGTGTGTATGTGTGTGTGTGTGTGTGTGTGTGTGCGTGCGCGTGTGTGTGTGTGTGTGCGTGTGTGTGCGTGCGTGTGTGTGTGTGTGTGTGTGATGTTGGTCCAGAGGGGCTGATGGTGCAGATTGGCAGCCTCGCTTTTGTCAGTCTGTCTGTCCCAGGGCAGCTGTGGCGGTTAAGGAATTTCTCCTGCGGTGCGGTATAGCGGCTCACTGGAGTTACAATATTTCCAGCGGCTCTGAAAACTCGCTCCGATGATGCGCTTGTTGCACAGATGTACCTGGTTGTCATGTGGATGAAGAAGTAACATTTGGCTTCTGGAACAAGTGCCGCTGCATCTCTCCAAGTCTCACTGTGGCAGGTCGGGTCAGAGTCCTGCACCAGGTCGGGTCAGAGTCCTGCACCAGGTCAGGTACTCGCGGACTTAAGAGAGAAAGAACTCCGAGCAGGTTGCAGCAGAATGCCGAGCAGGTTGTCGGGCGACGGGCGCACTTAACTCCATGCGGCGTGGACCTCAGCGGCGGCCCTTTCGCCTGTGGTCACCCGATGATCTACCGTATTTTCTGGGCTATTAGACGCGCTCTTAAACCTCTAACCCCATCAAAAAACAACTGCACGCCCCACAATCCAGAGCGCCCTATACACGAATCCACTCGGGTGTCCCAGCACGACTTCAGTAAACTACAAAGCCGCACGACCCGCAGAACACGCAAACACACACGGAGCAGACAGCGACCGCACGGCGAAACACACCCACAGACACACTCATCACTCGCCGACGAGGAACGGAACGGAGGAACGAACCGAAAAAGCGAGCGCAACGTGCCGCTTCTAAACACAACTGAACAACTGAGTCACTGCGAACACGCCGACAATCCGTTGGTCCCAGACAGCACCCTCCCTACACGCCACAACTGAACAAAGCCCAGAGTCACCGTGAACGACACAAACAAACAAAACCACTCACCCATCACAACTGTTGTGTTTCCTTTAAAGTCCAGTGCGGTTTATTTGTGAAAAAAGTTCGAAAATAGACCATTTAATGACAGTGCGCCTTATAGCGCGGAAAATACGGTATGTGGACGCACCTTAGTCCTGGGTCAGTCCTGGGTCAGTCCTGGGTCAGTCCGGGCACGAGTGGTAAAGTTTGGAACATTAACGGTCTGGGCAGGTGCGTGTCTCTAAAAATGGACCCGTGCAGGACTCTGGGTCAGGTCACGTTGGTCTCGTGCTGTGATTGCAGTGGGCTTCTTAGTACCGTGGTGATTCACTTATTGTCACCTCTGAGTGTGGAATAACTTCTGCTCTGTAAAGTGGTTTGAGTGTCTTGAAAGGCGCTTTATAAATGAATCGATTAAAAAAAAAAAAAAAACACAATTATATGAAGTATATAGCAAACACAATATGTCTTTTTAAATTCAGTCTTCTCTTGGCCTGGAGAAGCAGGAGCACAGAGCTGTACTTACGCTGAGGTGATGGCTCTGTAGCGTTCCTGTCCGGCCGTGTCCCAGATCTGTGCTTTGACCGTTTTCCCGTCGACCTGGATGCTCCGTGTGGCGAACTCTACTCCGATGGTGCTCTTGCTCTCCAGGTTAAACTCATTTCTGGTGAATCGAGACAGCAGGTTACTCTTCCCCACTCCAGAGTCTCCGATCAGGACCACTGAGGGACAAAAGGTTAAAGATTTACAGCATGAGGTAGAACATTTGTTTATCTCAGTAACAGAACTTCCCATATGTATAAAACACGCAGCCAGGCATGTTTTAAATATTACCTATTAACCTTGCCTATAAATCAACCCAGAAACAATGAGGCACTGTTAGAGATGAGACAAGATCTCGAGCGCACATGAGGAAAATTATCTCATGAGATTTTTTTTTTCTCACATTTTTACATTTGCCTTGGATAAAAAAGGTTAACTTGGCTGACTAATTCCTGTTGAGAAACCGAAAAACCAAAAAGCAACACTGCAATGACCGGAAAACTATAAAATTCAATAAATAAAACAATTAAAAGCCAAAATTATGAACTGAAATGAAGTTTATTTATTAAAAACGATATCATCTTGTCCTGTTCTCGTGGGTCTCTAGGCACGACAGACTTAAGTTAAAGCCACAATTTGTAACTTTTAGCCAAAAACAGCTAAAATAAAATGAATGGTTTGTTTGTTCTTTTCATTTTTCTTGTGTTCGTTGCTCTGAAATCTTGCACTCTTACTGTGAACGGGTGAGGAGAAAATTCTGTTTGTCGACTGGACAAAAGTTAGTTTGCTTGAATACGTTTTGCAGCTCATCCAAGTTGCTTCTTCAGTTTTTCAGCAGCTCAACCAAACTAACTTTTGTCCAGTCGACAAACTGAATTTTCTCCTCGCCGTGGATTCTACCTGGACGACTGAGGGATTCTTCACACTTACTGTGAACGGGCTTGCATCTCCATAAACCTTATTTGGCCTCCTCCTGCTCGTTTTTATTAGACCTACTAGATCAGGAATCGGAATACACTAGACTAGGGATGGGCATTCGATGAAATTTTCTTAATCGATCGTCGGAAGAATTAACGATCGATTATCGATTAATCATTAATGTTTTTATATTAAAATGATCATCATTATTATTACTATCTGCACTACTAATCTGCATAAATAAATTCAACTTTACGACGAAACCGTAACGACTGTTTAATTCAGTTTTGTGCATCTCTCACAGAAACGAAACTTAAAACCCCATCGCTAATTTGTATAAACTAAGCGAAGATAAAACTACAGCTCTTGTGTCGCTGATGTGGTTCAATTTCTGTCGGATTAAAAGACATGACTCAGGTGAATACAGGTTAGTGTGAACATATTTGCGTTTGTCAAAACCAGGACACCGTACGGGGGGAGGGAGGTGGGGACTCGTCATCGACATTGCGTGACTCTCACTTGTCCCGAACGCAACGGAAAGTGTGGAATTTCTTGTACAAATCATCGTTAAATACGCATATGCACTTTGGTACGTTGCAGACTGACCAACTGTTTGTGTCTCGCTCCTTCTGAGTGCAGAGACACATGTACAGACCCCTGTTTTGTCACGCTACACACAGCAACCTACATTCAGTTTGTCGATTAAAATTAACGTAATCGATGAAATTCTTAATGATCAATTATCGATTAATCGATTAATCATGCCCATCCCTACACTAGACGGTTTGCAAGAACCCCGGAAGTGCGAGTTCGGGCACCAGTCAATCAGCGAAAAGACAGACATTCTGTGTTGGCAACGATTCCCGAGATCGAGGATTTAAAGCCAGAACAAAGAGAATGTTTGGTGAATTTTATCAAGGGGAAAGACGTTATTGTCCTTCTTCCTACGGGATTTGGTGCATTACATACGTCACGACCAAATAACAGCGACTGGTTAAATAAAAAAAAGTACCCGCCTACTGTCAAGCGAACGAATCCTAACACCGCGAGGTCAGACTGTTTCCACGAAGTGAAACCTGCTGATGAATCAGGCTGGGTTTTTATAGAAATATTGTTCCTTTTGACTATAATGTTCCACAGTACGGCACAAAACACATCTATATCCATGCAGAACGTTCCGAAGTATGGATTTAACTTAGTATTTCCACGGAAACATGTGTGAGACCTGCCGACCTTCAGAAAGTTACCCAACTGTACCTTTATTTTGACATTTTCCACTCAACTATATATTGAAATAAGTTCTACGAATTGTATCAGGAAAAAATAAACGAGCAGTTCTTTTCTTTTCCTAAATAACGTCTGCAACTTCCTAACTTCCAACAAACTAAAGACAACATTGTAATTAAATAAACGCAGTAAAACCCTCAGATAATCTCCAAGGACTTGTGTTTTATTTGAACCAAAATGCCAGCCGTACCGAACACAGATTAGGTATCACTTGACCCAGAGTACGGACTTTTAAAGATAAGAACTTGTAGCAATGTCACGGCGAGTTTGTTCAAGGCAAGCTCATAATTTCAGGAGGATGGCTGCGTAAGTAATATAACAGGGGCTTCTTTATCACAGCATTAAAACGCATCAACAGAGCGCAACTTCACTGAGGCCAGACCAGCGATTTTACTGTAAATATATACTTTTTATTGGTTTAAAGATCCGATAATACGCACAAATTGCCTCGTGTGAGCTTTGAGCCACGTTGGAATGCCGTTACCTCATCAGAAAACATGCCAGGAGTTCTGATTCAGTCATCCATGCTTGAGTAATCATTTATTATTAGACTGTCTGCACGACGTCACAAGGAGTGTTTTCTGACTGAGAGACGAGCTCAGAATAAATATGCAGAGTTTGTGTGAATGAAACAAAAAATAAAACACAACTCCGGGTCTGTTTGTGACGAGAAAACAGCATTAATTTCAAACACAGATCAGAAAACGGTGAAGTACGGGCCCTTTAAAATGATTTTTTTCTATTCACGGGTTTCTGAATGATGAAGAGGCATGACCGTTGCCATAGCGATTAACTATTAAACGTATCTTCACAGCTTCTGAGAGCGACAAACCTCTAAACCTCGACGTGCTGTAAGCAAGAGGAAGCTGAAACCCACAGACAAAAGCAATTAGGATTTTGTGTGTCAGCGGTTTGAAAGCCACAATGCCCCAAATATAAACAAATGAGACGTACATTTGTTATACTTAAGAGATTATTCGCTCTAAACTAATAACTATTTTAAATAACATAAAACATAATGTAGTCTAGGGACCCTTTAAAATGTGTAAACAAGAAAAAGATCATGATGAATTCTCTTGTTTTATTTTATAGTCTGTGTTATATTGAATAATCTAAATGTATTAATAGAAAAATTCAATAAAGAGAATTGTCTAAAAAACAGAAACATTCTAAATTTCATAATGGAGGCAACTGGAAGCGAAAGCGAAGTGGAACATAAAGTGATTTCAATGGGGAAAACCTGGATTCATCAGAGAATATAACAAAAAGTGAAAATACAAAAGAAATTTGGCAATGAAAACCACTTGGATACATGTGAGTGATATCAGATCCCAGGTTAAAAACATTTACAGTTGTGTTCAACGTAAGCAACTTTGCATTTCTGAGAAAAGAAAAATGCATCTTTTTAGATTTTACTGGACAAATCCTTATGGAAAAGTTGAGCCTAATAGAGTTTTTCACTTAATTTACAGATATATTACACATTTCACCATAAATTAAGACTTTTTTGTGAAGCTCAAATATAATTTTGAGGTTAGAAAAACTGAATTTTTTGCATCCTTATTTTTATTTTTTGTTACAATGTTCGTAAAACCGTTTGCATTTCCACCCATTAATCATTGTAAGTATTTTTTGTCTACTTCCTTTTGCTTCCTTTACATAATTTTAAACATTCTGATGACATAGGATTTTAAAGTTGAGCCCACCACAGTTTTTCACTTAAGTTTACATCTATATTTACACATTTCACCATAAATTAAGACCTTTTTGTGAAGCTCAAGTATAATTCTGAGGTTAGAAATAAGAATTTTTTCCATCCTTCTTAACAGAGAAGCAAATTAACTCATATTTGTACCACGGAAATTCTAAATTGTTGTTTATTTTTGTTATAATGTCATAAAACCGTTTGCATATCTGTTAATCTGTTATCTGTTAATCAGTGAAAGTATTTTATGCTGTCTGCTTCCTTTTGCCTCCATTGCACAATTTTAAACATTCTGTTGACGTAGAATTTTGAAGTTGAGCCCCTTACAGTTTTTCACTTAGTTTACATCTATATTTACACATTTCACCATAAATTAGGGCTGGGCGATATGGATCAAAAATATATCTCAATATATTTTGCTATATCTCGATATACGATAAATATCTCGATATATGTTCAAGAAAAAATAACCCCCTAAAACGGAAAACTGCAAAAACAAATATGCCAAATTCCACAGGGTCCTTTTTAAAAAAATTAAAGTGTAAGAGGTCAGCAATTCATATAGGAACATTTAAGATTACAAAAAACCCTAATTACATAAATAATAATTTAACTGTCAAATAAAAGAAATAAAACATATTTCCTTCTTTTCATTCATAAATAAAACAACTCAACAACTCAACAAAAGTTCATCTTTGCATTAACTCCGTTATCCAGACCATAATCATAACCATGAACTCTTTTAACAGAAGAAGCTCAGGATGTTCCTTATTTTAACAGATCCATGTTCTTATCCAGCAGTGAGGAGCTCTGAGGTTTCCCACAATCCACTGCAGATCAAACCCAACGTTTCCAAACACTTTTGTACAAGTGAAACTGCAGCAGATTATTAATTCAAATCTTCTGCATAAATAGAATTTACATTACTAAACTTTACAAGATATATAGCATAATGACTCAAGAGCCACATCAGCCCATTTGAGATTATAGTGTTAATTATTTTATTTTATTTTATTTTTTGCAGCTTTGCGCAGACTTGTTTACGTTTTACAGAAACGAAACTTAAAAAGCGCATGGCTAATTTGCATAAACAGAGCACTCCACGTGCCGCTCTTGCGGTTCAACTTCTTTTGGACTAAAGGACAGGACTCGGTGGAATATGAGGATGTGCTGCTGATGGTCTTGTCTGTAAATGGTGGAAAGGTTTTGGTATGGTAGAAGCTTTTCACTGGCAGCAACTTTCAGCGTTCACGCCGATAGTGAGGAGTGAATGAGACACGAGCGAACAAAATCAGGGAGGCGGAGGCGCGCGGGCGACGACAGAGAAGAAAAACAAGCGAAGCGGCGAAATCAAAATTGAATATAAGCATTATCTCGATATATACGATATGTCAGAATTCATATCGAGTTTTTAAAAAATCTCGATATATTAAAAATATCGAGATATCGCACCACCCCTACCATAAATTAAGACTTTTTGTGAAGTTCAAATACAATTTTAAGGTTAGAAAACTGTATTCTTCCATTCTTCTTAACAGAGAAGCAAATTAACTAATATGTGCACCATGGACATTCTAAATTTTTTTTTGTTTATTTTTTGTCATAATGTCATAAAACCGTTTGCATTTGTTAATCACTGAAAGCATTTTATGTCTGCTTCCTTTTGCCTCACTAAATTTACATAATATATATTAGACATTGAACCATAAATTAGACTTTTTAGTGAAGCTCAAATGTAATTTTGAGGTTAAAAAAATGTATTTTTCCATCCTTGTTGACAAAGAAGCAAATTAACTAATACTTGTACCAAGGAAATTCTAAATTGTTGTTTATTGTTTGTCATAATGTCGTAAAACTATTTGCATTTCCGTCTGTGAAAGTATTTTATGTGTACTTCCTCTTGTCTCCATTACAGAATTTTAAACATTCAGGTGACATAGAATTTTAAAGTTGAGCCCACTATAGTTTTTCACTTAATTTACTGATATATTACAGTACACATTTCGTCATAAATTATAATTTGTGAAGCTCAAATGTTTTTTGTTAATAATCATAATCATCATAAAACCATTCGCAGTTCCACCTGTTAATCACTCAAAGTATGTTATGTCTGCTTCCTTTTGCCTCTATTAGAGAATTTTAAACATTTTGATGACAGGATTTTAAAAGATCTAGTTGCAGTTTTGAGTCCTGTGTCCCCTGTACCACCAAATTTATCCAAAACCATTGATTTGTCCCGGTTTTATACAAAAAATTTCCCACATGTCCCTATTTTCGACCAATCTGACACCTGCCAACAATAAAAATAGGCATACATTGTCATTTGTTTACTTTAAAATACAGGAAAACTGCTTAAAAATCACCAAAATTTAAAAAAATGTGACTATACTGACTCATTTTGACATAATATTTGTACCATAGAAATTCAAAATTGTTGTTTATTTTTTTGTAAATACTCATAATCGTCATAAAGCCATTCGCATTTCCATCTGTTAATCAGTGAAAGTATTTTATGTCTGCTTCCTTTTGACTCTATTAGAGAATTTTAAGCCTTCTGATGACAGGATTTTAAAAGATTTAGTTGCACAATTTTATTAATACCAACCAACACAAACCGGGGAAGTCCAAGTTTTTAATTTTGAAAACCTTGTCAAAATTTAATTTTACAGCCTGGTATAATGTCGTAAAACTATTTGCATTTCCGTCTGTGAAAGTATTTTATGTGTACTTCCTCTTGTCTCCATTACAGAATTTTAAACATTCAGGTGACGTAGAATTTTAAAGTTGAGTCCACTATAGTTTTTCACTTAATTTACAGATATATTATGGTACACATTTCGTCATAAATTATAATTTGTGAAGCTCAACTGTAATTTTGATGTAATATTTGTACCACAGAAATTCAAAATTGTTGTTTATTTTTTGTAAATACTCATAATTGTCATAAAACCATTCACATTTCCATCTGTTAATCACTCAAAGTATGTTATGTCTGCTTCCTTTTGTCTCTATTATTGAATTTTGAACATTCTGGTGACAGGATTTTAAAACATTTAGTTGCAATTTTGAGTCCTGTGTCCCCTGTACCACCAAATTTATCCAAACCCATCAATTTGTCCCGGTTTTATACAAGAAATGCCCCCAGATGTCCCTAATTTTAACAAATCTGACACCTGCCAACAGTAAAAAGAGACATACACTGTTATTTGTTTAGGTAAAATCCAAAAAAGCTGCTTAAAAATCACCAAAATTTAAAAAAAAAACGTGACTATACTGACTCAAGTGTTAATCTTGAATGGGCAAAGAGCAGAACAATTTTCTTTAATTACGCTCTCATTCCACAATTTTATTAATACCAACCAACACAAACCGGGGAAGTCCAAGTTCCTAATTCTGAAAACCTGCTCACAACATTTTAGAAACACAAAAATGATCAGAAATATTGAAAAATCCCTGGCACTGTTCTGTCCAAATCTAATACGAATTTTACCAGATTTAAACTATTGTGAGATGAGATCATTTAGTGTTGAAATAGTGTTAATAATGAGTTTATAGTCCGTGTCGTCTTCACTCCAGGGGCTCAGAAAAAAATAACAAAAAACAAAAGGCTCCGTAGCGGTGAGTGTGCATTAGGTGTGTCCAGCTTTATGACAACAAGCTACCCCCGGCTAGCCCCACTGCTAACCTAAAACACTATAAATATCATCTTTATCGTCACAAATCTGGATTAATCACACTGGTATTTATGTTCAGATTTACGAGCTGCATCGCCTTGTGTCGGATGCTTTTAATAATAACAGCTGACAGTTTGTTAAAAGCCTTGTAAACACGTCCGAAGCACAAAGGTGGTGGTACATCTCCTTAGCATAGGGGGGGACTCGACATAAATCCCAGGCGTTTCGCCCGAGTGGGCCACTGGTTCATTACGTCTCGCGGTTTGAAATACAGATTAATCGATTCGAGATCAATATTACACTACAGAACCGTCTAATTATAATCGTTAAGAAAAGGAATCGACTACTGATTAGTTTATTTAAAGCTAATTATTAAATAAAATAGTGAAAGTAGCGTATAAAATGACATAATTTTGACCGATTGCTTATCTGATAACACAAAAACGGATCAAACCTTTTATTTAGCATTATTTTAACATTAAGTAAGTTGTATTTTCTGGTTTGTAATTGTTTAATCGTGATTATTCTGCGTTATTAGTAAAAAAAAAAATTAACGAGTGACGCAAGGCATCGGAGCAGCCCCGAGCGAGATGCCCAGGCTTTGTAAAATCCCGTTAGCATTAGCCTGTCAGAAGCAGCTGGCCTTTTTTTTTTTTTTTTTTTTCAACACAATCTGCGAACTCTGCGTTACAAAGTGACTCTGAAAGCGCACTGTACCTTTGAAGAGGTAATCGTACTCGTCGTCTCTAGTTCCCATCGTGGTTTCGCGCGGATGTTCGTCCCAAAGCCACAGTTTGTTTGTGTTTGACTCGAGGCGGAGCGGAGCTTCCACACGGATCCTGTTTGGAGTTTGGATCAGCTGCACTTCCGCACTCTTCTTCTTCGTCTGAGGCTGGGGAGCGCGGTCACTGGAATAAACTCAACTGCGCCACCCCACGGTCACATATTATATTTTACAGGTGTGGAAAATACAATAATGGATTTTTACCACTATAAAAAAAAAATAATAATAATGGATTTTTACAACTGTAAACAATAAAATAAAAAATGTAATCGTGGATTTTTACCATACGACGGAGTATGACGGAGTATAAGGGTCAGATAAAAAAAAAAAAAAAAGCTGACGCTACGAGAAAGTCGTAACATTTCAACATTAAAGTTGTAATATTATGAGAATAAAGTCGAAGCCAGAAAAAGTTGTAATTTTATGAGAATAAAGTCATATTTTTACGAGAATAAAGTCGTAATTTTATGAGAATAAAGTCGTAATCAAAATAAAGTCGTAATATTATGAGAATATCGGCTGCTCGGAAAGTCTGAACGAGTGGAGAATGGAGAATTTGGAGCATTTTGTAAAGGAGAAGAATCCGTGTATCATTCGTTCATTCGACTGAACAAGGACTGAATCAGGACTAAATAAGGTACGGAACCAAACCAGAAAGACCAGGATTGAGACCGGGACCAGACCAGGACTGAGGCCGGGGCCAGACCAGGACTGAAAACGGTTTAGTCCTAGTTTAGTCCTGGTTTAAGTCACAGAAATGGGAAATGGCATTTCCGTGACTTTAAATGTTATTACGACTTCATTCTCGTAATATTATAACTTTATTCTCATAATATTACGACTTTATTTTAACTTCGACTTTATTCTTGTAAAATTACAACTTTATTCCTGTAAACTTATGACTTTATTCTTGTAAAATTATGACTTTATTCCTGTAAAATTACAACTTTTTCTGGCTTCGACTTTATTCTCATAATATTACGACTTTAATGTCGAAATGTTACGACTTTATTCTCGTAGCACTAGCATGTTTTTTTTTTTTTTTTTTTTTATCTGACCCTTATACTCCGTTGTATTACCAGTATAAAAAATAAAAAATATAACTATGGATTTTTACCACTATAAAAAATAAAAAATATAATCGTGGATTTTTACCACTATAAAAAATACAACATATAATAATGGATTCTTACCACTATAAAAAATAAAAAAATATTATTGTTGATTTTTTCCCACTATAAAAATTTTTAAAATATAATAATGGATTTTTCCCACTATAAAAATAAAAAAGTATAATAACAGATTTTTACCACTATGGTTTATATTTATTTATTTATATGGTCTATAAAAAATGAAACATATAATAATGAATTTTTACAACTATAAAACATAAAAAATATAATAATGGATTTTTACCACTATAAAAAATATAAAAGAATGAGAATTTCGCACATCAATTACTTGAGACAGGTGAGTTGGCGGAGAGGGAGCAGCCCAAGAACATGGAGAAAAATCACGCACAACAACGTGATTTTTCTCCACCTCTATAAAAAATAAAAAATATAATCGTGAATTTTTATCACTATAAAAAATATAATACATTAAGCAGTAAACACCTTGAAGTTAATAAATGATAACATAGATGAGTTTAGGCAAAGCAATAATATCTCCATAGAAACAAATCTGTGGTGGATCCCATATGAGAAAAGTTACACAGTGCACCTTTAAGCTCACAGATAATAACTGCAGTAACACCAAATTATTTTTAGTTTTTATCAATGTAGAATGTACACAGAGATTTGAATAGCAAAATGAACCAACATACAACCAGAAAGAAACTCAAAAAGTCTTGATTTCTTTGTAAGAAAAAACAACACTTTTTTTTTTTTTATGTCACTTTTCACATATCATGAGTGTAAAAGTGTGATGAGAGACAGGGACTTAAATGGTGCAGGTGAACACTGAAAAAAACAACAACAGGTAAGTCACACTGCACATGAGACTGAAACCACCAAAAGAAAAAAAATAACATTTATAAACACAACTATTTCAGTAACACAGGATTATTTTCAGTGATGCAAACTGTGAATTTTTCAGAATATCTTTATACAAATGAGGGTCTTTCACAGAAACACATCACCTTGAAAACATTCAAAAGGAATCTTATTTTTCTATTTTCTTAAATATAAATACAGAAAATATGTCCTTTACTGAACTATTTCTTTAAGTAGAATGTGAAGTCAGAGAAGAAGTTCTTCCATTCTTTCTGTGGAAACAAAACAGGAATTATTGATTTTTGTCTCATATTTTGGCAATATTTACATTAAAGGGACTTTTCTGGTGGAGGGTCTGTCAGATCTACATACACATGTTATTGCTTCGTCTGGAATGTTCCACAGTATGACATTAAACCTTTTAAGCAAACCAGACCAAGTTACAGGTCAGATCTGTGGACAGGTGACCCTACTCACAGTCAAAATGTGTGTGTTTTTTACTGCATTTTTGAACTATAAAACCACCTGAAACTGAATAAATGTAAGACAGAGCTTTGTAAAGTCATACTGTGGAACATTCCAGACAGAGCATGACATCTCCATAGAAATAAACAGGTGACAGACCCTCAGTCTTAAAGTTACACATTTTGAATGGAGCTCTGTGATTGAAGTGCAGCCTGCGAATCTGGTTGTAGTTTATATATATATATATATATATATATATATATATATATATATATATATATATATATATATATATATATATATATATATATATATATATATATTTATTTATTTATATATATATATGTATGTGTGTGTATATATATATATATATATATATATATACACACATACATACATACATACAGTACATATATACATATATACACACAATGCAACTTTAACTTAACAACCAAATGTAATTTTCATATACATGTTCCAAAGTTTGGCATTAAGTGGCATTAAACATTTATCTCTGTGGAGACACATGTGACGCCACAGGGCCAAGATACAGTTTCAGGTCAATAAAAACCCATATTATTGAGTAAATGCAAAATAGATATGTTTAATGCCACATCAGGACATTCCAGACAAAGCAACAACATCTCCATGGAGAAAAAAGTTACATAATGCACCTTTAAAGGTCCCATTTTCTGATCTATGTTATAATGTTGTTTCCTCATCAAAAACAGACCAAAACCAACTCCAGGTCTGTTTTTGAGGCAGTAACAACATTATAACACAGCTTAAAACTCACAAGAGTCAGTTTTGCGTAATATAAAACCTTTAAATGATAAATTATACCATAAAAAAACAAAGTCATGAATTTCAGACTCACATTTTTGGACTTGTTCTTCTTGGTCTTCTTCTCCTCCACGCTCTCGTAAGTGGTACTTTCGTTTTCCTTTTTCTTTTCTGCCATCTCTTCGTAAACGTTGTTTTCCTTTTCTTTTTCCTTTTTTGTCATATCTTCATACGTCACCTCCTCATTTTTCGCTCTGTGTTTCACCTCAGTGTAGTGACCGCCCTCCGCTGCCTGGTAGAGGGGGTTGGACTTCAGCACCTCCTCAGACGCCAGCAGGTACGAGTAGGTGAGGCAGGTGACCTTTCTGAGGGGAGTTGGGGTCGGGAGTCTCGCTGAGTTTTCATTTTGGTCCAGAGCCAGAAAAGGCGTGTTTTGGTTCTCTGTGACCTGTGGGCAGAGGAGGGTAGAAAATGTTATATTTATTTAAAGGCCCCATATTACTGTATTTTTCAGAATATAAGATGCACCAGTCAAAAAATGTGTAATGAAGAAGAAAAAAACACACCGTATTTTCCGGGCTATTAGGCGATCTGGATTATAAAACGCACTGCAATTTGCAACTTTTAGCCAAAAATAGCTAAAATAAAATGTTTGTTTGTAAAATAAAATGGTTTGTTTGTTCTTTTCATTTTTCTTGTGTTCGTTGCTCTGAAATCTTGCACTCTTACTGTGAACGGGCGAGGAGAAAATTCAGTTTGTCGACTGGACAAAAGTTAGTTTGGTTGAATACGTTTCGTAGCTCATCCAAGCTGCTTCTTCAGTTTTTCAGCAGCTCAACCAAACTACCATATTTTCCGCACTATAAGAAGCACTGTCATTAAATGGTCTATTTTCAAACTTTTTTTTCACAAATAAACCGCACCGGACTTTAAAAGAAACACAACAGTGTGATGGTGAGTGGTGTTGTTTGTTTGTTCGTTCACGGTGACTCTGGGCTTTGTTCAGTTGTGGCGTGTAGGGAGGGTGTGTCTGGGACCAACGGATTGTCGGCGTGTTCACAGTGACTCAGTTGTTCAGTCGTGTCTAGAAGCGGCACGTCACGCTCGCTTTTTCGGTTCGTTCCTCCGTTCCGTTCCTCGTCGGCGTGGAGTGATGAGTGTGTCTGTGGGTGTTTTTCTCTGTGCGGTCGCTGTCTGCTCCGTGTGTGTTTGTGTGTTCTGCGGGTGGTGCGGCTTTGTAGTTTACTGAAGTCGTGCTGTGACACCCGAGTGGATTTGTGTATAGGGCGCTCTGGATTGTGGCGCGCAGTCGTTTTTTGATGGAGTTAGAGGCTCAAAAGCGCATCTAATAGTCCGGAAAATACGGTATATAAGTCACATTTTTGGGGGGAAATTATTTTATAAAATCAGAGACCAGGTAGTGACATTTCATCTTGAAAGTCAAGTTACTGTAATAACAATAGAACAGAGAACAACAGACTGTTAACGTAACCATTCTTCTTTAGTTTAGGTTGGGGTTAATTTGGGTCACTGTTTATGTCTGAGCACAGGGTGACCTATATTTGGCTTGGCCACAAGGGGGCAGGGTGGAGTCAAGCGCTACATGAACACACAGGTGTGAGTGTACTGGGTGTGTGGGTCACTGGAGGTCATTTTCTTTTTTATTGCTCTTTCTCAGGCTGGTGATCAAGCTTTCATTATTTAACTCTTTAATCTTATTGAACATCCCTCCACCCACCCTACTGCTTCTGCTCTATAAAGCAACGGACCACAACCTGGATTCTGAATCGCGTTAGGCCTGGATCCCCTGCACCCAGAAACGACAAAAGGTTAGGATTAAAATTGTCGCTGCAGTAACATAAACAACAGAACAGAACAAGTTTACCAAACTCTCCATCTCACTCCAAATCACTAAATCCATTCAATTCTTCATCCTCGGTGTCACTTCTGAACAACTCCTCGACCTCCGGTGGTAAACAGAGCGACGCTTCCTCTTCTGTGTCGCTGTCGTCAGACTCAGCATCAGTTCCAGTTAGAATTATTCGGGTCTTTCTGAATCCCGACAGGATGGTTTCGGTGTCGCTGAAGTCCAGGCTTTGTCCATCCATCCAGTGACAACAGGAAAGTTTCACGGTTCATCCTCCCGGTGTCACAAGTTTCTCGCTCACTCCAAACTTTCTTTCTTTTGCTCGATTACCATTTTCTGCTGCAGATTTCACGACTTGCAGTTTGTAATCTGCAAAATCTGATTTTGTTTTGGGGGCATTTGTGTTCAGTTTTCTCAGTCGTCTTTATGAGTTTGTTTAAATTTGAAGTAATGTGATACACTGACATGATACAGATAGAACAGAGGCTCTTTCTGCAGGAGACATGCGCAGTAGAGTGAAGTGACAGTGGTACAGGAGGAACAGGAGCAGCAGATACTCACACACAAGACTAGAGCTTCTCATGGCTTCACTCTGAACATTTTAATATATATGTCAGACTGGAGTATATGGAGTCACATAAAACACCCAGACCATGAAAAAAAGTGCCACTTATAGTCCAAAAAATAATGTTGTTACCTGATCACAAACATACCTGGGTCTTGTTTCATTCACTTTATTATTAGTCTACTATATCTCCAAAGCTCAAAATGTTCTGTTCCACCTTGTGATGTCATGAAGTGGTAGTTTTCAGGTTATCAGCTCCTTTTACCTTTTGTTTCGTAAAGACTGACAGTTATTTGAGCGACTGTACTCACCCTTGTCTGTGTGGGGCTGGACCTGGGTGAGCTCGGGGACACGTCTCCTCGCCTCTGGGTGGAGCTGACCGGGGTTAGAGGTTCGTTTTGTTGATCGTCGTCTGAGGAGACGGCGGAATCAAAGCTGAGGTGCGTGGCTTGGTTTGCAACGCACTGTGGGGGAAAAAATGCAGTGTATTAAAGGGACAGTATTCGGATCTGTGTTATAATGTTTCCTCATCACAAACAGACCTGGAGTTGTGTTTTGTTTCATCCACACATGTTTAACACACAAATGCTTCATATTTAGGTCTGAGTGCTTCTCTCAAACACTCTGACCCACCTTGTGATGTCATGTGGTAATACAGGAAGTGCTTCATTGTGGTTTTAAACTCTATACACCTTCACTAGAATCATTTGGACCAGGAGTTTCCTGGAGAGCTACCGGTATCTCACCAAAGGATTTCTGAATTACATGTACTGTGCTGAATAACTAAAATGTGTTTAGTTAAATGCCTTTTACCATCATACATGTTCCATTTTGATGCCTAACTTTGTACACTAATAAATGGTTTGTATTTTATAGGCATAGTGGCTCTTATATTTGCTCAATTTCTTGTGACGTCTAAAACCAGTAGCTCTCTGACATTTTTGTTTTGTAAAAGTAGCACTTTTTCAAAACGAAAAAAGGTTGGAGAATCCGTGTATCATTCGTTCATTCGTTTTTCAATATAAAACCAAAAATAAGAAAACGAAAAAAACAACAGTTTTCTTCGTTATTTGTCTCCAAAACCAAAATGAAAAAACGGATAACGATTCATTTTTTTCAGTTTTCGATTTTGTGTTTAAATGAAGAATGGAAAAAACGGATAACGGCCGTTTCCCGTTTACGTGACTTCAGTGACTGCGATGCCGAACTTTTGCACCGGGTACAGACTGAACCAGGACTGATCCAGGTCCGAGACCAGACCAGACCGGGACTAGAGCGGGACCAGAGCGGGACCAGAGCGGGACTGGGGCGGACTCTGAGCTTTGACTCTGAGCCTCCGTGGGGTCCAAGCCTCAGCTTCGAGCTCCGGCCCTGCTGTGGGCTCTGAGCCTCTGATCTGGTCTCGGTCTTGTCTCGGTCTTGTCTCTGTCTCCGGTCTGGTCCCGGTCTGGTCCCGGACCTGGTCCATTTGAACCAAAAGCTCTTAGTTCAGTTCGTTTTCGTTGGTGTGAAAGCGTCAGTTAGATGCTTTGCACCACCTCGGAACCAGCTGCTGTTCTTGAGCGCGGAGGACTGGAGCAGCCCGTCCGGACCTGTAGTCCACAGAACATTCTCACTTTCCCTCGGTCTCAGTCCCGCTCTGGTCCCGGTCTGGTCCCGGACCTGGATCAGGCCTGGATCAGTCCTGGTTCAGTCCGTATGTGGTGCAAAAGTTCGGCATCGCAGTCACGGAAGTCACGTAAACGGGAAACGGCCGTTATCCATTTTTTCCATTCTTCATTTAAACACAAAATCGAAAACTGAAAAAACGAATCATTATCTGTTTTTTCATTTTGGTTTTGGAGACAAATAACAAAGAAAACTGTTGTTTTTTCGTTTTCTTATTTTTGGTTTTATATTGAAAAACGAATGAACGAATGATACACGGATTTTGGAGACCCCTGATTTGGATGATTTCTGTCACGTAGAAACAGAGGGGGGACCCAAAACGCAGGACTGCTTCAAAGTATTTAATGACCAATCCAAAAAAATCCAAAAACTTGAACTAAACTGCCATGACACGAGACAAGGAGAAACTCTGACAGAGACAATGGACCAACAAAGGGCAGAGGAGAACACAGGGTCTAAATGCACACAGACACAGGTGAGACACACACAGGGCGGGGCAAACAATCAAGACAGGAAGTAAAAGTCAAAACTACAAGCTGACACGACAAATGTCAAAATAAAACACTAAAGGCACACTACACTACAGGGAAAAAGATTTCAAACTAAGCAAAAACAACGACTACAAAACATGAACCATGACAATTTCAGACCAGTTGCCAATTTCTACTGAACTAAAGGTAGAAGGTAGATGTTAACTCGCAAACTACAGCTTCATGACATCACAAGGTGGAGCAGAGCATTTTGAGGTTTGAAGATGTATAGACTAATAATAAAGAGTTACTCAAACGTGTGAATGAAACAAAACTCAACTCCAGATCTGTTCTTGAGGAGGGAACATTATAATATGAGTTCAAGTTCATAAGAGTCAGTTTTAAAAGTCAGTTCTAATAAAGGACCTTTAAGGACATTAATTTAGTGGATGTGAAAGCAGAGGGTCAGAGGAAGAGAAGGTCAGAGGGTCAGAGGAGAAGGTCAGAGGGTCAGAGGAGAAGGTCAGAGGGTCAACATCACAAGGTGGAGCAGAGTATTTTAAGCTTTGGAGATGTATAGACTAATAATAAAGAGTTACTCAAACGTGTGAATGAAACAAAACTCAACTCCAGGTCTGTTTTTGAGGAGGAGAAGGACAGAGGAGCAGAGGAGAGGGTCAGAGGAGCAGAGGAGAGGGTCAGAGGAGCAGAGGAGAGGTCAGAGGAGGTCAGAGGAGAAGGTCAGAGGAGCAGAGGAGAGGGTCAGAGGAGAGTAGAGGACAGAGGAGAGGAAGAGGTCAGAGGAGAGAGAGAGAAGGTCAGAGGAGGAGAGAGGAAGGTCAGAGGAGCAGAGGAGAGGAGCAGAGGAGAGAGGAAGAAGGTCAGAGGAGCAGAGGAGAAGGAGCAGAGGGTCAGAGGAGAGAGGAGAGAGGTTCAGAGGAGCAGAGAGAAGGTCAGAGGAGTCAGAGGAGAAAGTCAGATGAAGCAGAGGAGAGGGTCAGAGGATGGAGAGGAGCAGAGGAGAAGGACAGAGGGTCAGAGGAGCAGAGGAGAAGGTCAGAGGATGGAGAGGAGTCAGAGGAGAAGGTCAGAGGAGCAGCGTTGCTGAGGAGAAGGTCAGAGGGTCAGATGGAGCGTGTTACCTGGGACAGTGCCGTAGTATCCACAGATATCGAGTGGGTGAACTTCCTGGTGGACTTTGGAGGTAACACAGGCGCTTCTTCTGTACTATTATTATTATCAATATTATCATTATCATTATTATTATTATTATTATTACTGATCTGCGGCTGACTCTTTGTTTGAGGAGGCGTGTCTGTGGACTGCGCCCCCTTCTGGTCCCACAGGCTGCACAGGGCCCGGACGCTCACTCCACTCTGCCCTTTGGTGTTTACTTTCTGTATATTCACAGAATCGTACAGCTCCGAGTCCTACAGAAAAAAATCAAGACATTAAATTGTAGACAGTGTTGGGGAGTAACAGATTACATGTACCGGAGTTACGTAATCAGAGTACAAATTATGAGTAACTGTATTCAGTTACAGTTACTGTTTCAGTGAGTGGTACTTGGATTACAGTTACTTTGTTGAAATAAATGGATTACACAGAGGGATTTTCCTGTTTTTGGAAAATACACTCATTGCCGGGAACTAAACAAGGTCTAAACTAGATCTAAACCAGGTCTAAACCAGGTCTAAACCAGGACTAAACCAGGACTACACCAGGACTAAAACCAGGTCTAAACCAGGTCTAAACCAGGACTAAAACTAGATCTAAACCAGGTCTAAATCAGGTCTAAACCAGGTCTAAACCAGGACTAAACTAGATCTAAACCAGATCTAAATCAGGTCTAAACCAAGTCTAAACCAGGTCTAAAACAGGTCTAAAACCAGATCTAAAACCAGGTCTAAACCAGGACAAAAACAGGACTAAACCAGGACTAAAACCAGGTCTAAACTAGATCTAAACCAGGTCTAAACCAGGTCTAAACCAGGTCTAAAACCAGGACTAAAACCAGGTCTAAAACCAGGTCTAAACCAGGACTAAACCAGGATCTAACAGGATTTAACAGGACTAAACAGAACTAAATCATGCTGTGTGGACCGTGTCTCCTCATCTTCTATCAATAATATTTTTAATTTGGTTCAGTAAAGTCTGGGCTTTTCATTTTCTTTTATCAGATAAAACATCTTAGGTGAAGATATCCGAGTCTTTGCTTCTCTACAGTAAATCAAGTAATCCAAAGTATTCAGATTACATTACTCACTTTAAGTAATTTAATGGATTACGTTACAAACTACATTTTGGGGTTTGTAATCTGTAATCTGTAGGGGATTACATTTTAAAAGTCACCTTCCCAACAATGATTGTAGACAAACATAGAAATGTAGAGCATTGTTTTCCTAAACCTTTTTTCTGGAGACTCATATTTTAAAAGTCACAAACCTTTGCAACCCAAGTCAATAAACATTATTCATAAATCACAAAATAAAGGTGGATTTGATCATTATTGAACATTAATGAGGATATTTTAGTGTTGACTGAGCGATCGTGTCTGAACAATTAGTTTTACTCAAGTTTTAAACAATGAAAAACAGGAATTGAAGCAGCAATAAAAGGATCCATGAGTCGCCAATTTGGACATTAAATGTGCCCATTTCTTTTTCTTTTCAACATTCAATTGAACCAGCAATATTGGAACAAAATAGTTAATAAAATAATTAGAAAACTATTTGAAATTATACTAAACATGTCATAACATTTCAACATTTCTAATGAGATAGGTGGGCCTGTCTTTGTTTTTGGTAGGGGTGTGCAAAAATATCGGAATATCGATATATTGTATCGTTTAATGTGATGACACAGTATCGATATCGTGGGCTACTGTATCGATATATCACCTACAGCTACAGTTTTGTTGCTTGTGGAGTGAAAGGAAACTCATTTATGCAACACATTTGATATTTTTACTGTTTTGATGATTAAAATGTTTGTGTTTCATATGAACTTTGCACAAGAAGTGGTTTAACAAAGACTTTTAGTGTCACAGCCACGATTTAGCCTTTATTTTTTATTGAACCGTATCGAATCAATTTGAAATATATATCATATCGAATCGAAAGCTCACTGTATCGAGATATGTATCGTATCGTGGCCTGTGTATCGAGGTATGTATCGTATCTGCAACTTCTTAATGATACCCAGCCCTAGTTTTTGGAGCGTGTTCCAGGAGGAGAGCGCAGCAGCAGATCAGACGCAGGATTCAGTCTGTTTCTGTGCTTTGTTTTCATTTTTGTGAGCACAGAAAATCCCAATTCACACAAATATGTAGTAGTGAAAAGAATAAGCATAGAAACACTGACCCTACTGAGGATTGGAGATTCTGACAAAATGTTTATCCAGAATGACGAGAAGGTCACAGATCAGAACTGTGTACTGCAAACCTCCATGCAGATCGTGACAAGGCGACCCCAAAAAAATCTCTTGCGACCCACCTGACGGTCACGACTCAGACTTTGGGAAACAATGACGCAGACAGACTAACAACTCACTCTTACGTACTTACTCAAAACCCAACTCCAGGTCTGTTTTTGACAGGGAAACAACTTTATAACATGGTTTAAAGGTCACAAGGGTCAGTTTTGCGTAAATACAGGACCTTTAAAACTCTTTTTATGTTCTATAGGAGCCCAAACACTGGTCCCATTCATGTGAAGTGAAGAGGAAAATCTAAATTACTTGTGGCTAATGTTTAACTCACTGTACGAAGCTGCTGGTGTGACTTATGTAACGTATGTCAGCTACAATAGAAAACACAGTATAGTTAATCCAGGACTAAACCAGGTCTAAACCAGGATAAAACCAGATCTAAACCTAGGCTAAACAGGACTAAACCCAGACTAAACCAGGTCTAAACCAGGATAAAACCAGATCTAAACCAGGTCTAAACCAGGATAAAACCAGATCTAAACCTAGGCTAAACAGGACTAAACCCAGACTAAACCAGGTCTAAACCAGGATAAAACCAGATCTAAACCAGGTCTAAACCAGGTCTAAACCAGGTCTAAACCAATACTAAAATAAATCTAAACCAGGTCTAAACCCAGAATAAACCCAGACTAAAACAGGACTAAAAACATTTTGAAAATTTGGAAATCATAAAATTATAAATATCCTGCTCAAAATAATAAAAGGAACACTCTGAAAACAGATCTTTTTTTAAGAATAGTATTTAAAGCTGCATTGTGTAACTTTTCTGGGGGAGGCTCTGTCTCCAAATGCTTGTCTCCATGTTATTGCTTTGTCTGGAATGTTTCACAGTATGGCATTAACCCTTTTTATCTTCATGGAGACCAAACCACATTCATGTTCATGTGTTTTTATTTGGTCAATGTTTAACTCATTACAGTTTACATACTTTACTTTCAGTCTGATGCTCATGTCTGATGTCTGATGAATGAGACCTTCTTCGTATCGACACCTGCTCAGATGTTTTAGCATCAGTTAGAACGTGATTTTTACAATACTTTTGAGAGCACTTATAATGCAACGAAACTGTAAATGGAGAAGCAGTATAACTATCCATCCATTTTCTTCCACTTTATCTAGGGCCGGGTCGGGGGGGCAGCGGTCTAAGCATGGATTCCCAGACTTCCTTCGCCCCAAACACTTCCTCCTGCTCCTCCGTGTGGGATCCCAAAGTGTTCCCAGGCCAGCCCAGAGACATAGTACCTCCAGTGTGTCCTGGGTCTTCCCTGGAGCCTCCTCCCAGTAGGACATGCCCAGAACACCTCCTGAAGGAGTTCACCAGGAGGAACAGAAGCCCGAGCCACCTCAACTGCTCCTCTCGGTGTGAAGGAGCAGCGGCTCTACTCCGAGTTCCCCCCGTGTGACTGAGCTCCTCGCCCTGTCTCTAAGGGAGCACCCAGCCACCCTGTCGAGGAAACTCATTTTGGCCGCTTGTACCCGTGATCTCGTCCTTTCTGTCATTACCCAGAGTTCATGTCCGTAGGTGAGGGGAGGAGCGTAGATTGACAGTAAAATCAAGAGCTTTGCCTTTCGGCTCAGCTCCCTCTTCACCACAAAGGATCGATACAGCGACCGCATCACTGCCGACTCTGCACCGATCCGCCTGTCGCACTATAACTAATGCATTACTATTTGAGTATGACCTCACCTGCTCCCTCTCTTCGATGGTGAGGTATTCTCCAAAGGGCTGGATGGGGCAGATTTTGTAATGCTGAATCAGCTCAAACACGCTGCTGAACTGCTGCTCGTCTCCTGTGATACAGAACTGACCCTCTGGACTCTGGGAGATCACAAAATGGCGGCATCGCTCCTCTCCCCTGGAACATTCACCAAAAAAAAAAACCCATCAAAATATTGAAAATTAAAAAGTAAAAATCCCACTTATCTGATTTCAGAGGACTTGGGTGGGCGCTATTCTTCCCTACAATGTCCAGTGTCCCTCTACAGCTTCCCCAAAGATTTTTACCTCATTTTTATAAGGCATTCAATTTTGACTAAAAATATTCAACTGGAAAAGTATTCAAAATGACTCACTACACAACGCTATCGTTTAAGTGAGCTCCTCCAAAGAAGACCTTAACACTCCCTTAGCTCCTACAACCAAAAACGTCCAGCACCGCCTCTGTGTGACTGGAATTGGGATTTTCATCAAAGTAAAGAAATTCAATAGAAATATCTGAGGTTTTACTTTAAAGAGGAACCAAACACTAAATCCACTTTTTTCCTACAATATTTTTTGGCAACTTTACTGAACAGTAGGTAAATTTGCTTTCTGGCCTCTGCAATGTCCAGTAGTTGGTGACATTACACAGCACTACCCTGATTACACTCAAGAGAGAGTTTTGTGTTGTGATGGCCCCTGCTGTTCCACTATAGGGTGGACCTGGTGGACCTTCATGTTCCAGTTATTCTTCACAGGACGCAGAACACCTCTCTGTCTCTGTGGTACACTGAAGCTCTTTAACCGTAATAATGACCATGGAACGTTTATATGAAAAAATAGTTTAGATGAACTCATTGGAGCTGGAGCTGCACACATCGCTGTCTGAATGAATTGAATCACTGTTGTTTTGGAAATGACAGAAGGTCAAAGATCAAGCAGAACATCTACAACAACTGAACTATAAAACCAATGAACACACCGCTAATGGAAAAGCAGTTCTTGGTGGCACAGCTCTTACAGTAAATATTGAAGAAGACTTTGATGAACCTGAAGACACAAGACAGAGAGACAGAGTGGTGTTCACGTCCTGTGGAGAGGAACCAGAACCCGGAGCATGGCCCCAGTTACATGGAGCCAGAGAGCCACAATGGGACAGAGGGGGACGTCACATGAGTAATATTGGATCTTTCAGTTTGAAAGTGTGAAGTGAATGTAACCATCGTCTGTTTTCATTGCAAGAGACAAGAGCAGAGACTCACTTGTACGAGAGGACGTATCCTAACGTCTTTTCACTGAGTCTGAGCAGAAACACGCCCACAGCTTTGTCCTTCAGCTGCTCCTCTGCATCTCTGAAACAGAAACACAACTTCATGTTAGAGCAGAACATTTGTAGATTCTTAGTCAGGCTGGTGCCACCTAGTGCCTCTGCTCAGTTTCATTTCTCTCCAGTGACTAGATCAGGAATCAGAAAACACTAGACGGTTTCGCAAGAACCCTGGAAGTGCAAGTTCAGGCACCAGCCAATCAGCGAAGAGCCAGACATTCTGTGTTGGCAACGATTCCCGAGATCGAGGATTTAAAGCCGGAATAAAGAGAATGTTTGGTGAATTTTATCAAGGAGGAAGACATTATTGCCCTTCTTCCTTCGATTGGTTAAACAAAAAAAGTGCCCGCCTACTGTCGAGCGAACAAATTCCAACATTGCGAGGTCAGACAGTTTCTACAAAGTGAAACTGCCTGATAAACTAGGCTTGTAGACTCTCAAATATATTTTCAAATTCATGCATAATTGAGTATGACACAATAGCATGGGATAGTATCAGCAAGTAGCTGTAGATTCAGTAGTTCAAGCTGTAACTTTTCTTGTTTCCATGGAGCCTGGAATCTTCCGCAGTGTGGCATTAAACTCTTTTATCCTGCATTTATCCAATCACAGGATTTTTGCATTCTTACTGTGAGTGAGTTTGCCCCTCCATAGATCTGACCCGTAACTTGGCCTGGTGACTTAACCTGCTGTGTAGTTGTATAGTGAAACATTCATACATGACCTATTTCCAAGTTACTGCTTTCATAACATGCAAATAAGTTATATAATCTACTCGATCATATGTGTATTGTGTTTCAGGTTTAGGACGCTCCACTGGCTCAGGGTTGAATTTGATTTTACTTTCAATATTTTGAAATGCAAATAAATGACCTGAAGAGGTACAGGTCACTCGAAACAAAAGAGGAATATGATGTAAACATGGAATGAACGGACAATATTTAGGATTCAAACTAGAGGAACATTCAAATTCACTGTTAGGGGCTTTTCAGGGGATGTTTTTATGGATGTTTAAATTTGAAACGATTTCAACTTTAAATCATAGAACTTTCTTTCCTATTCCCTTGTGCTCTTATAATTGTTCTGATACAGCTCAAGATCATTCTAAAACTGTTCAGGAAAGGTTCATTTTTGTCCTGCGAATGGGACTTTTTTAGTTAAAAGTTTCAGAACATCCTAATTTTTCCAGTTATTTATTGCAATTCAAGTCGTGCAAGTCCAACGAAGAGCTTGAAATGGTGCAAAGGTCAGAACTGAACAGACAGAGGTTAAAAAAAAAGATAAAAGAACAAAACACAAGTCCAAGCTCTGCCAAAACTACCTCAGAAAAAAAGAACAAGATGGTGAGTTTGAAAACATGGAGTGTCCAGACTTAAACCCCATCGAGCTGGTTTGGGATGAACGGGACAGAAGAGTGAAAGTGAAGTGCCACACATTTATGGGAACTTCTGCAACAGACTTGGGAAGAACTTTCTGGAGAATATTTGATTTCTGTTGTAAAAAGAACGAGCCACGAGTGTGTTCAGCTGTTATATCTGCCAAAGGTCGACACTTTCATCAATTAAAAGTTTAGAAAAAACTGGAAAAAGCACGGTGTTCTAAAACTTTTGACTGGTTCTGTAATTCAAAGTGCTTTACAGAATAAGAAATACATTAAAATCCAGTGGTGGTCTGTTCACTCCCTTTGGTTGTGTTGCTTTCACACATGTATTTTCATATTAAAGCATTTGACCAATCACATTTCAGTCGTCATTTGTTGCTAGGCAGAGTCAACGTCAAAGAAGTCTGCCTGAGGCCTTCACAATCCGTTCTGCAGGCCGAACACAAAATAAATGTCGATGAACCTGCTGCTTCAACCAATCAGATTTTGCGTTGGTGTCGCCAGGGCCTTTAGCAGCGAACAACAACGTGATCGGACTCGGAGAGCGAACCAGCCAAAGCAGCAAACTACAACTACATCTGCAGCGGCTACGGAAATCGAAATTATTATTACTATGTTTTACTGTTATTAATGACCAGTGGCGTAGTGGAGATTTTATTTTAAGTGGGGGAACGCGATTCGTGACTTAACCAGGAGGACTAAACCAGGACTAAACCAGGACTACACCATGTCTAAATCAGGTCTAAATCAGGACTAAACCAGGACTAATCTTGAACATGAGAGAGAGAGAGAACACCAAGTCCACGGCAAAGGGTGTTCGCAAAGCGCGATCGGGCGACGACTGCCCTAAGCCGGTCCTTTTCGCCTGCGGTCACTCGCTTCTACGCAGGTGCACCTTTGGGCCTGTCTCTGGTTTAGTCCTAGTTTAGACCTGGTTTAGTTCTGGTTCAGTCCTGGACCCTCATGTCGCAGGTCACTATAGGCGAGTTTCAGCTGACGTCATTGTTATTAAAAGCCCGCGTTGCTGCTGGGAAATATTTTGGTCGGAGGCAAGAAACACGGTAGCGTCAAACACAGTGCGTAACCTCGCGTATTTATCCCCGATAATGGTAAATTCCTGCTGCATTATCGGATGCACAAATAGAAGCACGGAAGAAGGAAAATGTCTTTTTCGTATTCTGAGTGAAAAAGAACCACTAACGGTGAATTAAACGACTTTCAAACATTCCGCAGAGCAAACGTAGAAGATCCTAACAAACCGTGGACTCCAACAAGTTCAACGACACATCGAGACTCTTGGAGGTTTTCATCTTTTCTGCTGTGAATGGCCCAGGAGTTTCCACCAAGTCATTGTGGATATCGCCCAAGTGAATATTTGTCCAGGTAGTTGGCGATTCTGACCAGAAATTTGGTTTGGTCCACCTTTTGTCGGGGTTGAAAAGGGTGATTTGTCGTCCGTCGATGCTTATGACCAATTTCTGGTCAAATGGTCTTGGGTCCTCTGTCGTTAGACTGGATAAATAACCGGGATCAATACCCTTTACGTGCTTTCTCGCTCCGTCCGTCATGTTGAATTCGTGTTTCTTGCCGGCGACCAAAATAATTCCCAGCATGCAACGCGCGCTTTTGTCAACAATGGAACTCTCCTATAGGACAGTACTGGAGATATCAGTGTTTCCCGCAGCGCTTTATAGTTAAAGCAGCCTCTCCGTGCTACTACTGAAGGCCTAGGTGTGAAAAGCGCGGTCTGCCACTGTTAAAATCCCAATAAAAAGCAAAACAAAACACAAATAATCATTGTAAAATTTTAAAAAAGAGAGACATTAAATTAGAGATTGGTCACTTCATGCACCACACAACAGAGAGAGGAAGTTAAAGAGCATTTTTGTGTAATTTAGTTATTATACTGCACCAAATTGTAACATACTTTTATACTGGGCAATTCTGGTGAAGTGTCTTGCCTAAGAACACAACTACAGAGCTCGGTTTGAGTGGGAATCGACCCTCTGACCTTCTGACTTTATTAGTCCATGAGGGAAATAACTCGGAGACAGTAGCTCACACCTCGCTTTTTATTACAATAGCACAGAGTTAAAACACAAAACAAAGCAGACACACAAATCATCAATGTTTGTTTATGCAAAAAATTAAAAAAATTGCAACTGCCCCTACGATCACCACAATTTACACTAGGCAAAGTGGGTGACGTGTCTTGCCTAAGGACACAATGGCAGTAAAACAGTAAAGTCACTGTATTCTTGTCCAAATTTCCCACCCCTACAGACCAGTGACGTACATAAATATATGACTTATTTACACTTAAAAGGTCTATATTACACTATTTTTTAATGATGTTATAATGTTTTTTCCTCGTCGTAAACAGACCTGGAGTTGTGTTTTGTTTCATTCACATGTTTTAACGCACAAAACCTGCAGATTTAGGCTGAGTTCATCTCTAAAACAGAACCACATTGTGATTTCAGGTGGTAATGCAGAAAAAAAAGTTGCACTGTGTTTTTATTTGGATCATTTAAATCCTGGAATTGTCAATCTCTACTGAACAAAAGAGCAAAAAGAGAACTGTAAACTTCAAAACTACAGCTTCATGACGTCACAAGGTGGAACAGAGCGTTTCGAGTTACTCAAACATGTGTGAACCAAACAAAACACAACTTCAGGCATGTTTGTGATGAGGAAACATTCAAACTCAGTTAGCCCTGGTTCAGTCCAGGTTTAGCCCTGGTTTAGACCTGGTTTCGTCCTGGTTTAGCCCTGGTTTAGTCCCTATTTAGTCCTGGTTCAGTCCTGGTTTAGCCTTGGTTTAGTCCTGGTTTAGCCCTGGTTTAGACCTGGTTTAGTCCTGGTTTAGTCCTGGTTTAGTCCTGGTTTAGTCCCGGTTTAATCCTGGTTTAGCCTTGGTTTAGTCCTGGATTAGCCCTGGTTTATCCCTGGTTTAGACCTGGTTTAGTCCCTATTTAGTCCTGGTTTAGTCCTGGTTTAATCCTGGTTTAGCATTGGTTTAGTCCTGGTTTAGCCCTGGTTTAGTCCTGGATTAGTCCTGGTTTAGTCCTGGTTTAGTCCCGGTTTAGTCCAGGTTTAGTCCTGGCTTAATCCTGGTTTAGTCCTGGATTAGTCCTGGATTAGTACTGGTTTAGTCCAGGTTTAGTCCTGGTTTAATCCTGGTTTAGTCCTGGTTTAGTCCTGGTTTAGTCCAGGTTTAGTCCCGGTTTAGTCCAGGTTTAGTCCTGGCTTAGACTTTGTTCAGATCTGGTTTAGTCCCGGTTTAATCCTGGTTTAGTCCTGGTTTAGTCCTGGTTTAGTCCCGGTTTAGTCCCGGTTTAGTCCAGGTTTAGTCCAGGTTTAGTCCTGGCTTAATCCTGGTTTAGTCCTGGATTAGTCCTGGTTTAGTCCAGGTTTAGTCCTGGTTTAATCCTGGTTTAGTCCTGGTTTAGTCCAGGTTTAGTCCCGGTTTAGTCCAGGTTTAGTCCTGGCTTAGACTTTGTTCAGATCTGGTTTGTCCCGGTTTAGCCCTGGTTCAGTTCTGGTTTAGTCCTGGTTTAGTCCTGGTTTAGCCCTGGTTTAGTCCTAGTTCAGTCCTGGTTTAGCCCTGGTTTAGCCCTGGTTTAGTCCTGGTTTAGTCCTGGTTTAGTCAAATCTACTATAAACTGAATGCACTCACTTTCTCGTTGCCAGTCCGTGAAACCAGTCTGGAAACTGTCCGTTGTGGGCCAGTGTTGCCGCCTGCGTCTCCGAGAACCACTTCAAAACCAGCTCCTTCAGTCCCCCATCTAGACCCGGCTCTGGACCGGGCTCTGGACCCGGCTCTGGACCCGGCTCTGGACTAGGATCTCGGCCGTCCAGAGACCCGTCCGCGGAAAGCCTGCTCGTCTCCATGTCCCTGAGCATCTGCGCTGGACCAGAGCCGCTGCAGCCTGATTTGAATAACTCCGCTGGGCGTCACAGCTCCTCTATAAGGCCTTTGTTTGGTTTATTATCTCTGAACGCGCAAACTCACTGGAACATGTATTTTCATTTGACTATCTCAGTTCCACGTACAGATTCTTACAATGCCTTTATATTATATTTATAGTTTGCACAGGAAAGTGCTGGTTTTCAAACAAAGTCGCATTCTAACAACATGAAATACAGACGGATTTAATAAAGTGGAGCAGCTAAAATGAATACTGAGTGCGTTATAATAATCCCTACACTTGTAACTTTTTGGTTTTGGGATCCGTCACCTGCCTGAAGAGATAAGGCTTGGACCGTCAGTATCATCTTTTAAATCTAAATCCTTCCTTTAACTGGTCTTACCTTGATTTTATTCCAAGTTTATTTATTTTTATTCTTTTTCTTTTATTTTTTTATAATAATTAATCAAATTGTTTGCATCATTGTCTGTTTTTGTGCTTTCTGTGTGCTATTTTTGTGCTTTTTTATTGTTCATTGCCACTTGTACAGCACTTTGTAAACCTTGAGTTAATATTATTATTAGTAGTATTAGTATTTGTATTAGTATTTGTATTTGTATTAGTATATGTCATTGTTCTGCCTGGAATGTTCCACAGTGTGACATTAAACAGCTCTACTTGACATTTATTCAATTACAGGTGGTTTTATAGCTCAAAAATACAGAGAAAAACTGACATTCTGACTGTGAGGGGGGGTCGCCTTTCCACAGATCTGACCTGTAACTTGGTCTGGTTTGGTCTCCATGGAGATAGAAAGGTTTAATGCCACACTGTGAAACATTCCAGACAAAGAAATAACATCTCCGTAGAGAAATGCATCTTACGAACGCTCCACTAGGAGGTGCGCAAAAATATCGAAAAAATCAAAATATCGTCTCGTTTAAGAGATATGCGTTTATTAGTCCCACAGTGGGGAAATTCCAGTGTTGCAACGTGCAATTTTAAGAACAGCAGGAAAATAATAACATGCAATAAAACAGATAATAGATAATGGCTTAAAAATAATTTTAAAATGGACTTAAAAATATATGTAATGATATGTGAATAATGTGATGATATGTATTGATATCGTCCACTGGGGGTGTGCAAAGATATCTCCTGTATCAATATATCTTGAGTATTTTTTGGTATATTTTACTAAATTATTTTGTTACAGAGCTACAGTTTTGTAGCCTGATTGATCAGCCAGATTCACTTTGTGGAAACCATCTGACCTCGCAGCATTAGGATTCGTTCACCCAACAGTAGGGGGGTACTTTTTTATTTAACCAATCGCTGCTATTTGATCGTGACGTATGTAATGTACCAAATCCCGTAGAAAGAAGGACAATAACGTCTTTTCCCTTGATAAAATTCACCAAACTTTCTCTTTGTTCTGGCTATAAATCCTCAATCTCAGGAATCGACAACACAGAATGTCTGGCTCTTCGCTGATTGGCTGGTGCCTGAACTTCCACTTCCAGGGTTTTTGCAAACCTTCTAGTGTATCTGATTCCTGACCTAGTTGCTGGAGAGAAATGAAATTGAGCAGAAGCACTAGGTGGCGCCAGACTGGATAACAGTTTTGTTGTATTTAGAGAAAGGAAACTCATTTATGGGCCCGGTCAAGCAGAAGTAAACAGCAAGGCCAAAAATTCAAGTTAATGCATCTGATATAAAAATGTATTCAGCAGATAGCAGCTGTACTCTAGTTTATGAAACTGTTTACCTTTTTTCTGTACCATTTTTGGTTCTAAACTTACATACATTTTAAACAGACCATGTCACATGTACAATTTTTAGGCCTTGAACAAGAATTACTTCCCAAATTTCAAAGACCTGCAAATCCTCTTCAGGTTAACTTTCAAGCTTCATCTTTGACTAATCTAAATCTAGGTAAAAAACTTATGAAAATTAAAACTATTAGGTGTTAGTATCTGGTAAAACCTGTGTTTTACAAGTCTAAAACAATGGTAATTTTCCCTCCGTTACTTTTCCCTCCGTTACCATGACCTTTCTTAATAAAAAATTTAATTACTCAAAAATTAAGACGTTTTTCAACCTAATCTTGTACCATATGGTAGAAAACTATATGAAGCAAATATTCAAACCAGTTTGTTAAGGATATGTAAGTGAGAACCAAGAGTTATCACTGTTTGGATTTATTGAACAAAAAGTGCTGCATATTTCATTCCCTCCGTTACCGACATGAGTTTTTAAAATTTTTTTGTCAACAACTTGAAAGAATATCACAGGTTTAACTTGACCCTGTTGGAGTGTAACTCTTTCCTACATTCTGATACTTTACTTATTTCAATAGTCCCTCTAGTTTCTGAATAAGAGACATTTGAATGTAAAAAATCTGCCCCTGTTTCCCTCCGTTACCACTTGACTGGACCCTTATGTGACACATTTGACATTTTCACAGTTTTGATGAGTAAAATGTTTGTGTTTCATATAAACTTTGCACAAGAAGTGGTTTAACAAAAACTTTTAGTATCACAGACATGATTTAGCCTTTTTAATTTATTTTTTATTGAACCGTATCGAATCGATTTGAAATATATTGTATCAAACCGAAAGCTCGACCGAAAGCGACCTTCTGGTGTTCTAAGAGTTTGAAATGATGTTGTAGATTGAAATACAGAGTGTCGTGATCGCACAAACATCTATGCAAATAAATGTTCTATACTGTACTAGTGTATTTGTGCTCTACAGTGAAGCCGGTGCCTCTGGTTTGCTTATGAGACATGACATTGTTTTCCGACACATGTAAATAGTAAACAGGAGGAGAGTTCACACGCCAAGTCTGTCCACCGTTCACTCAATTCAGTGAAATGTAACTGTACCTTTCACTGTACAATGGAAAAAAAAACTACTTAAACTTAACTTAAATTAAGAACATTTGAGTTTATTTGAGTAGATTCACCTTCACAAGTAAAATTATCCACCAATGGAATAAATGTGTTTATCTGAATTCAAGCAACATTCGATTTTGTTTCTTATTTTGAGTTGTAAAAAGTTGTTTTTTTTCTTATTTTAAGTTCAGCAGGATGTATTTTCATATTTATGTACAACATGTCCATTGTTCCATTGGTAGATTATTTTACATGTCAAGTGAAATTTACTCAAATCATGATAAAACTTTCTTGATCTGAGTCATCTTAACTTGGCTACGTTTTGTTTTTTGCAGTGTAGTTCTTTATTTAGTCCCTCTTTAATTCTAGTTAGATCCTGGTTTGGTTCTGGTTTAGTCCTGGTTTAGTCTTTGTTTAGTCCCTCTTTAATTCTAGTTAAATGTGGGTTTAGTTCTAGTTTAGTCCTGGTTAATCCTGTTTTAGTCCTGGCTTAGTCTTGGCTTAGCCTTTTTCCTGGTTTAGGCATGGTTTAGTCCTTGTTTAGTCCTGCTTTAGTCCTGGTTTAGTCCTGGTTTGGCCCTGATTTAGTCCTGCTTTGGGCCTGATTTAGTCCTGCTTTAGTCTTGTTTATTCCTGCTTTAGACCTGCTTTAGTCCTGATTTAGTACTGGTTTAGTCTTGGCTTAGTCCTGTTTTAGTCCTGCTTTAGTCTTGGTTCAGTCCTCATTTAGTCCTGGTTCTGTCCTGGTTTAGTTCTGTTTTAGTCCTGTTTTAGTCCTGGTTTAGTCCCACTTTAGTCCCGGTTTAGTCGTGCTTTAGTCCTGGTTTAATCCTGTTTTAGTCCTGTTTTAGTCCTGGTTTATTCCTGGTTTAGTCCTGCTTTAGTCCTGATTTAGTACTGGTTTAGTCTTGGCATAGTCCTGGATTAGTCCTGGTTTAGTACTGGTTTAGTCCTGTTTTAGTCCTGGTTTAGTCCTGGTTTAGTCCTGTTTTAGTCCTGGTTTAGTACTGGTTTAGTCCTGTTTAAGTCCTGGTTTAGTCCTGGTTTAGTCCTGTTTTAGTCCTGATTTAGTACTGGTTTAGTCTTGGCTTAGTCCTGGTTTAGTCCTGGTTTAGTCCTGGTTTAGTCCTGTTTTAGTCCTGGTTTAGTCCTGTTTTAGTCCTGGTTTAGTCCTGATTTAGTCCTGGTTTAGTTTCTTTCTCTTTCTCACTCATCCAGATAATTGCTGGGACAATCCAGTCAGAGATACCTTGAGTTATTATTAGTCTGTTTTATCTATAGGCCTGTCTGTGCCCCGGTGCATTGTGGGTAGGGTGTCCTATTTTCTGCTCCTGTCGGCGGGTGAGTGAGACGACAGGTGCCACTCGGGGACCACGCTCCAGTCCCTGCCATTTCTACAAACCACAACACACACACACGCTTCTCTGCAGGATTTTTTACTTTTACTCACAGCTGAAGGATTAACTCTCTATTTTTTCTCGCACAAGGACAAATTCTGCAATATTTTAAAACGTTTTGGAGGATTTTTTGGTGACCCAAAGACGATGGTAAGAATTTAAAAGCTGAAAATTCCTCTTTACAACGTGTTAAAATGACTTGAGCGAAGAATTTTGTTTTGTAGCAGCGTTTTCTTTTGTGTTTTTTCTCTTTAATGACTTAAAAATACCGTGCCTTGTTGCTATTTTTTATAATAAATGTGCAGGTTTTTGTTTGTTTTAACATTTTTTAAGTGTTCAACGTATATTTATTTTTTATTATATATATTTTTTATGTTTGTTGTACATTTATTACATTTTTTAAAATCTTATAATAGAGGTTTTTAGCCGTGTTTGAACCATGTTTCCTCATCACAAACAGACCTGGAGTTGTGTTTTGTTTCTTCCACACGTGTTTGAGTAATCCTTTATTATTAGACTGTTTACGTCTGCAAAGCTCAAAATGTTCTGGTCCACCTTGTGATGTCATGAAGTTGTAGTTTTCAAGTGGCTCCTTTTATCCTTTTTAGCTTTAGTCCAGTAGAAATGTGCAATCCCAGGGCTGAAATCAAATGCTTGTTTTATTTATTTTACAAAACACATACAAACATTTAGAATAGTTC